CAGACATCAGAAGCTGTTGGATTTGTGTGTGTAGGCCTATAGATTATTGGATTATTGCACTTGATAGTGATGTCATTAAAAATGCTAATTTCATATAAAACTACCATTTGAAAAAAAGATTATCATGATATCCTTTAATTCACGAGAGACATAATACAACCCTAAAATCATCATTCCTGGATATGGCACCAATATGCCATATTTCGGCCCTTGGCTCGTCCTGGACTAATAGTTTGCTTTTTATTCTCATGCATGAATTTCAATTCAATATGCACCAAGTTTGGCATTTTTGGGTGAAAAGGTGGTACTTCTATAGATTTCGATTGTTTGAGATTCTATTCAAAGGCAAATTATATAAAAACTAATTCTTGCAACCACGGTCCCTGGCCGTATTTGCGCGCAAAACCTGGACTAGGCTGTTGATTAGTCAATTTGGATGCCATAATTATGTTTTTGTAAGGCCAAAAAAAAAAAAAAAAGTCGGTTTCTGGTCAGCGCGCGCGTCGATTTTAATCATGCGCGTCGATCTTTTTTCCCCAAAAAATGTTCCGCGGTAGCTCCAACAGCGCCCTCTATTTCCGCACCTCCTTAATTTTTTTTTACCAAAGAGCACAAAGGAATGGGAAATTGCACCAAGGCAAATGATCGAAAGCACCAAGGCAAATTATGGAGGACACCAATGTACATGAGGACAATCGTACCCCACCTTGTCTGTACAATCCAAGCTTGAAGAAAAAAAAAAAAAAGCCGCGTGGCCGCGTCAATTCCGGAACTTTGGTCTGACCAGAGACCGAATATTTTTTGTTTTTTGGCCTAATACAACATAAATGACTACGGTGGTTTTGAAAACGGGTTGCCGAATACCCGACAAAGAAGGCGCCCGCTAACTGGTCAGAATCTCGAGGTCAAGACGCAGTCCAGTATAATTAATCGCTCACGTTATCATGGACCCCTTCCAGGGGCGGTGGAACTTTTCAAACTCGGGGGGGGGGGGCGGGGCGGCAACACCAAAAAGGGGCACTTGCTCAGAAAAAGGGGCACCTTCCGTCGGTGTGAAAGTGGAGGAAAAGAATATGGTCCCGTTTATTTCGCTACAAACCTATATGACGAGGACCAAATTATGAATCTTGCTCTCAAGTTTTATACCTTTAGGGGCGGATCTAGGATTTTCCATAAGGGGGGGGCGTGAAATCAAGCAGCAAATGGTGACTCGGAAGGCAACCTGTGGTGTCTACGCCGAAGGCCAAGAGAGGGGGGGGGGGGTAGAGAGGGAGACATAATATATATGAGATTACAAATAATGCGATCGAGTACCGCGAAGCCGTAACGACGTGGGGTCCGGGGCCCGAAAGGGATTTTGGATTGTAGATGCTCTGTCGTGCGATATCAGGCAACTTTATTGAGCAAAAGATCATCATTCAACATCATTTTCGAGTTTGAAGTTATTGAATCAGCTATCCTGAGAACTATAAAATCAAACTGTAGGCTACAATATTTATTCGGGAACTAACAAAAACAGTGGAGGGGGGGGGGGGGACAAACGATATGTATCCCCATTAAAAAAAAAATGGGGGGGGGGAGTGTTACATAATATTATGTCCCCCTCCCCCGTCCCCCACAAATTGACGCCCATGCATGCCAAAGGCATGCCCGCCTAGCATGCCGCCCTAGGCTGCTACAGAGGTCTGGGTGCATTTTCCTGAATTGAAATGTTCAGCTACCGGCGCGCTGTCCTGTCGCTTTTATTTGTAGTACGTATTTTTCAGTGGGGGGGGGGGGGGGGGGGGGGGGCTGAAACATTTCACGGGGGGCGTCATGTAGATCAATGATAATTTTTTTAGAAACTCAAAATCTCAGTGGGGGGGGGGGGGGGTGAGGGGGGGCGTCAAGGTTTCATGGGGGGGGGCTGTCGCCCCCCACGCCCCCCCGTTGCTACGCCACTGCCTAGCAGGTTACGGTCTGATGACGTAGTATTAATTTCGTCTTTCCCTCCCCTTCCTTCTCTTTTTGAGTCTCTCATCTGTTTTTTTCTTTTTTGAAGGAAACATTAAGGGGGAAGGGAGCGTGCACACCCACGCACCGCTCCCCTGGATCCGCCCAAGGTCTCTCGAAAGACTTTTTTTGTTGGGAGAGGGGCGCTGTTGTTTTGATGGCCAGCTCAGAGTCCATTTTATTTGCATGAATATTTGTTAGGGGCGGCTGTGCATATATTGAGAGGGTGACGGAGTGGGGCACTATAATGTGCTTTGACTAGGGGCAGTTTTCCATCTCGAGAATTAACATGAGTTGCGCACTATATTGTTTTTGATGGCCAAATGTCTATCTCAAGAGGGGAACAATTACATTATTGCGGGAGGGGTAAACTACTCGAGAAGGTGCACAATCTTGTTGATTGAATGCGATAACCGCGCCTGAGAGGGGTACCTTTGTTGACCTGGGAAAATGGGGGGGGGGGGGGGGGGGTGCCCCCCTGCCCACCTGGTCGCGCGGCCCCTGATGCTGCTGCGCAAACTAGGGATGTATTGCACGGGTGTTTCTTAAAAAAAAAGTACACAGGGTTGATCTCTCTTGAGCATAGTGACCGCTTGAGCCGATTTTCGGCTAACTTTGACAGATTTTTTGTTATTTGACAGAAAATTTGACAGAACGGATTTTGATTTTTTGGCAGGTTTCTGGCAGAATTGTGCAAAAATGGAGGTTCACTGGGAACCAGATTTAGTCGCAGTGAGTCTGACCATTGATCTCCATATACACAGACTGGATAGGACATCGCGTATGAACGTTCGTCCGCGCGCGCGTTTTTTGAAAAGGGTAAAGAACACAATTTCGCATTCGAGTTGTGTACACTTTCGAACGGAGGAATAAAAGATGAAGTTGGGTTTTCTTCGGTTTCTTTGTCATTTTTGAAAGAATAAAAGAAACAGAGATCTAAATTGATCAAAATCGACGAGGAGTATAGTCAAGGCGTGCGCAGCATTAGATTGCTGGAGTCGGGAAGTAAGGAGCGTTGAAGAATAGGACAAGTATTCGCAAGTAAGTTGTTTTTTTTAACGAGGCCTATACAACATGGCATGGAGGAATATGAACATGGGAATGACAAAGCAAATTTTTAATATCGTTAATGTTGTCGCTCTGATTTTGAGGGGAAGGAGGCCGGTGTGGTAGCTAGCGAGATATTCTTTTCAAATTCCATGCGATCTAGGCCTGTCATGCTGGTCGCCATCCATGTTTTTTTTTAAAGACATAGGCCTAAACGTGCATGACTGACCCGGCAATGTCAATGAACAAAAGTTGACATGTTTAAAATAGTTTATTCGAATAACTTTTATAACTTTTATATGCAAAATCTGATTGAAATTTTGTCTGCCTTGGCTTTAGCTCTACTGAGTGGAGCACTGGAACTTCGGTACCCTCCGTACAAGCTTGAACGGAGGGTACTGAAGTTCCAGCGCTCCTTGTACGGAGGGTACCGAGGTTCCAGCGCTCCACTCAGTAGAGCTACCTTGGCTTAACGCCTACCGAAATGTTTCTATTATTTTTCTTTATAAAGAGAAACCGAGGAGATGGTTTACTGCACTTAACTTACTGCACAACTGGCAATCACCTTCATATCAAACAAAGAACTTCAGCAAAGCCACAGCAAAAACCACCAGCTGCAGGACCGAGCCGGACGAAAATAACTTCACGGAGGGATGGAATCGACTGTATCATCCACTGAATGGAACATGCGATAGGCATCTGAGCGTTTGACTTAATCAATTCTTACGATGTGGAACTGTTAACATTGATTGATTTTGTTTTTGAAAAGAAGCTGTGGAGTTCAACGCAAGTATTTTTATGAGCTCTCAAGATGACTGTCACATTATTGACAGTTTGTATGATGAAGAAAGCAATGAGAACTTTTACGGTTTGAAATTATGTTGTGTACGCCGTTATATAAGATTACTAGCTATAGCCATAATTTATATACACTGTCATATTCGCTCACAAAAACGATACCCATTACACTTAACAAGTAATTATATTTATTTTCAGAAGTATAGCTAAACATTTAATTGTAAACAAGACCGTGCGTAGCTTGAATTATTCTTTGACAAAATTAGTATAGTCCTATTTTGGTTTGTGATTCATCTCCTTTCACACAATATCACAACAAAGAGGTGAACGATGTCATTCCCTGATCAATCTAGGGACGGGAAGAAGTTTTTACTGATTACTTTGTAAAATTAAGGTTTTTTACCTTTTATATTGTAATTGGTTTATGTTCAGGTTCTCAATAAATATATCAATCATTTGAATGAATTTCTCGTGTGAGTGTTCAGTTAAAAAAAATATGATGTCATTTCAGCATATTATTAATACAATTATTCATTTCGTTGATGGAGTAATTCAGTGTGCTCTAATGACCAATGTGACAAAGATGAAATGGCAATTTACTTACAATCATTTTTGGGAGGAGGAGGGATTTAAAAAAAGGGGGGTTCTTGAATTTCGAAAATCCATAATAAGAAATTGTATATCAAGAAAGTGTGGAAAAGCTGTTTGGAGGGATTGAGGGTAACTCTTCATCGTTCAGTTATTGTTTTTTTTTAAGATTGTTTTGGAGGAGTGCTTGAACTCCCTCCTGTAAGAAAAATTTCACTCAATAATCCATTTTCCAAAGTAAACAAAGTGAAAGCACAATGCGCGTTTACCCGTCTGACAGTAAACGCGCTGCCATTGTTCGGCCGCGTATTCGTGCACAAACACTGCGCGATGTCCTATCCAGTCTGTGTATATGGAGATCAATGAGTCTGACGCAACCGGCGTTTTTCCTGAAATTCTCGCAATTTCATATTACCTTTATGTGGCTATAGATTGTTTATAATGTAATTTGAACATTAATTAGGGCAATATTACAACATCTGCATGTGATTTAAAGTGTTTATAGTGATTTTGAGTAATTCTGCGGAATTTGGCATAACCTTACGGTCACCCTGCTCTTGAGGGCGCACTACACAATAGTTTAGGATTTAGTGCAAGTGTTGTGTTGCGTTGTGTTGCCGGTGCCGATCGTCACGTCTAATTGAAACCTGTTTTCTAAAATTAATAGTCTACATATCATTTTACTGCATGGACAGAGAGATTATCCGGTGGTACCTGTACAGGCTGTAGCCTACATCATACATGCACAAAACAATGTAAGTTAGGTAATCCTTTAATACCTTTCGCCTTGCTTTAGTTTAGGAGTAGGACTGTCATGCATGACTGTTGACATGGTTGATAGCCCTGTTGTGCCCATTCTTGAAAATCACGCAATCTTAAGAATGTGCGCGCATTCTTAAGAATGAGCGCCCATTCTTAAGAACGAGCACGCGTTCTTAAGAATGAGCGCTCATTCTTAAGATTGGGTCGGAATATCACGTTCACAATTTATGAATTTTGCCCAATCTTAACAAACATTGCACGACGTAATTATGTTAAATGAAATGTATAGCGGTTAAAAGGGAAACAATTTATATAAAGAGGAAAGAAAATGTTCTATGCTTCTGTACTCGTATAACTACGATAATTTGAATCAAATTAAACCTGTTATTATTGCTTTTGTCTGCCCACTATGGGAAGTTTTGTAATAACGGAGGACTGGGAACTAGTCTGGGAAGTGCTTTGTTTAGGCTAGACAAGTTACAAGTCCCTGTATGTATTGTAACGGGACCTTATTGGGTTCTTGTCCTCCGAGTCCGGCCAAACGCAAGAAAAGGGGACAAACACACAGGATTTCCAACTTCTGAAGAAACTTATTTATTCAACACAACTCTGTGGTCAACCTGCCACACTGCTACCAGTACCACGACTGCTGATTCCCAGCATTGAAATACACACAGTTTGAACAAATGTATACAATTGTAACAACTTGCAATGACCCCGGCATCTTGCCAAACCTTTCCCGCGTCCCCCAACAAAAGAAACCCACTTAAGCAACCTATTTCCGGAGCCTATTTCCGGAGCGTGCGCCAGCCAGACCTAAAACCAGGTCAGGCTTGCGCCGCCGGAGCCCCTCCGCCGGAGCACCAGCGCTAGAAAGCAATGACAACGAAAATGTGCATAGACTGTCCGTTACAGTATCATATGCATGCCACGAAAAAAAAACGATGTCCAGAAGCTGCCAAAATTGCTCTTTGACTAGATAGAATCCAGCTCTGCGGCGTAATGGTGGGGTGTGAACAATAAATTGGTGGCAATTTAAATGGGAAATAGCATTAGCAGTGCACTATGGGATGTCGCAGTATTCATTCTCATTCTTCACATTCTTCATTCTAACGTTCCCCCCCCCCCCCCCCCCCCCCGCTTTTATTATCCCAAAAATCAGAATTCTTTCCACTAGTATTATTATGTCTCTTATTTTTTCCCGGTCCCCCCCCCCATATCAATACGCCTATAGATACTTATCATATCCACTCTACTTTTCAGCGCCTTGCGTTGCAACAGTATAATTATTGAGAATCAGTGAACGAGGATGCAGCTAGACTTGCCAAGCGCAGCCGGTGCTCGGCATCGACAAGACCGTTATCTTGTCGCGCATTCTTAAGAATGTGCGCTCAATCTGGAAGAGTTATTTTTTGCGAAGATTGGGCAAGGATCCAGTTGCACATTCTTAAGAATGTGCATGCACATTCTTAAGATGTCTAATTTTGTGAAATTTCATGTTGAAATTTTGATACGCAAACGTGTACAAATGTATCTGGAAATTTCACGAAAAATGGACATCTGAAAAAGGCAGCACTTTCTGATTAGCCTATATAGAGGGTGAGAATGCTTCTAAAGCAAAAAAAACCCTACAAAGTAAGCCTAAATGTGAAAATCAAAATTTGGCAAAGTCGACACGTTTTTGTACAATGTGGATGTGTGGCCTATGTTTACGGAGGCAGTCCAGTAAATAGGCCACATTTATGGAGCTAGACTGTTGAGTGTTGTGCGCTTTCTTGAAAATCACGCATTTAATGCGCATGCACATTCTTATGATTGCGCAACTGGATCCTTGCGCAATCTTCCCAAAAAAGTAACTCTTCCAGATTGAGTGCACATTCTTATTAATGCGCGACAAGATAACGGTCTTGTCGATGCCAAGTACCGGCTGCACTTGGCAAGTCTAGCTGCATCCTCGTTCACTGATTCTTAATAATAATAATTATACTGTTGCAACGCAAGGTCACTTACTTAACGCTGAAAAGTAGAGTGGATATGAAACTGAAAGTATACATGTATGCGTATGGACTATGGGGGGGGGGGGACTGGGGAAAAAAAAGAGACATAATAATAGTGTATTAGAAAGAATTCTGATTTTTGGATAATAATAGTGGGGGGGGGGGGACGTAAGAATGAAGAATGTGAAGAATGAGAATGAATAGGCTACTGTGACATCCCATAGTGCTAATGCTATTTCCCATTTAAATTGCCACCAATTAATTGTTCACACCCCCACCATTACGCCGCAGAGCTGGATTCTATCTAGTCAAAAGAGCAATTTTGGCAGCTTCTGGACATCGTTTTTTGTTCGTGGCACGCATATGATACATGCAGGGATTTGTAACTTGTCTAGCCTAAACAAAGCACTTCCCAGACTAGTTCCTAGTCCTCCGTTATTACAAAACTTCCCATAGTGGGCAGACAAAAGCAATAATAACAGGTTTAACAGGAGTACAGAAGCATAGAACATTTTCTTTCCTCTATATGAATTATTTCCCTTTTAACAGCTATACATTTCATTTAACATAATTATGCAATGTTTGTTAAGATTGTGCAAAATTCATAAGAATGCGTGCTCATTCTTAAGAATGCGCACGCATTCTGAAGATTGCGTGATTTTCAAGAAAGCGCACAACAGGACCCCGTTCCTATAAGGATTAAGACTCACCAAACAACTGACTAAATAAATGACTCTCAAAATGGTAATCCTTACCTTTAGGACCCCTTTCCTATATAAGGTTAAAAGACTCACCAAAACAGCTGACTAAATGACACTCAAAAGTGACATTCTGATATTTCTTGGCACATTTGAACATTTGGCAATGCCACCTCTTGAATATCAGCAGGTTTAATTTTGTAGAAAGAGAGCAGGGCTTTGATTTATGAGGGGTAAAAGACGACGATGACAAACAGAAAATATATTAAAAAAGCAAGATGGTGAACTGCAAAAAAAGGTAGGAAAGTCACATTTTCTTTGAAAGTGCTTTCAAAATTACAACCAACATGAGTTTATCTGAAGTAAAAAGACTGCTCTAGCCTGCAAAAGTCACTTTGGCACTGGACAGTCATCTGCAAAAGTCAGTTTGAACAGAACTCGTTCAAAATAGAGGTGTCCTAAAAGTGGTGATCGTGTAGTGTAGGGCCTGGTTCCTATAAGGGAACAAAATCCACTTTAAATTATTAGCTGACCAAATAAGTTGGCGACATTCTCAATAAACAGGTATGTCATAGATAAAAGGGCAGGGTTTTGATTTTTTGAGGGAAATTTGGGGGTAAAATGACCATGACAGCGCGGCCACAACACGCGACCCGAAAATAAAGATGGCGATCATCACGCAATGTACCGTGAGCATGCACGGCGCGCTGAATCGCAAAGCACAAACCGCGCAGGAAAATCGTGATTTCTACCCCAAGAATCTATTCAAAATTGCAAAACGGGTATCATTAGGATTGAGAAAAGTCTGCTTTTGATTGTAAAGGTGATTTTTGAGCAATAAAAACATAATTTGATCAAAACAAAACAGGGGCCCTACACTTCACGATCGCCCTAAAAGTAAGGTTTACCCTCAAAATTACATTCTGATATTTCTTGACACATCTGAACAGTTGGTAATGACACCTTAATATCAGCAGGTTTAATTTTGTGGAAAGAGGGCAGGGCTTTGATTTATGAGGGAAATTCAGGGGTAAAACTGACGACGACGACAACCGGAAAATGGACTCAAAACGAAGATGGCAAATGTGAAACTGGCTAGATGCAATGAAAGCTCAATGCTGATTGGCAGATAAAAAAAAAATATTATTATTTTTTTTTTAGCAGCCAATCAGCATCAGGCTTTCATTGTGTCGGGCTTTCACTCGTGTTGTGAGAACTACAATGTGCACGTCTCGCGTCTGACTGCAAAAAAGGGTAGGAAAGTCACATTTTCTTTGAAAGTGCTTTCAATATGGCAACAAACATGAGTTTATCGGAGGGAAAACATGGAAAAAGACTGCTTTAGCCTGCAAAAGTTACTTTGGTAATGGACAGTCATCTGCAAAAGTCAGTTTTGAACAGAACTTGTAAAACATATAGAGGTGTCCTAAAGTAAAGATAAGGATTACCGTAAGTTAGCATGGTTAGCTACTTTAAGTTAAACTTAAAGTAGCTACACCAAAAAGGAGGGGCACTTGCTCAGAAAAAGGGGCACCTTCCGTCATGTCCGTCGGTGTGAAAGTGGAAAAAAAGAATATGGTCCCGTTTATTTCGGTATAAACCTGGCTATATGATGAGTCCGCCTACATGTTGTTTATCTTGCTCTCAAGTTCTAGGATGGGACTTATCGCAGTACTTATCACGTTCTTGTTCGGAATAGAGATTGCCCACCAACCTTCCTGAATTGTCCTGTCTTTTGTGTTGAATAACTCTTCCTTTTCAAATTGACATAAACAAATTCGACGGTGGGTCTCGTAAAAGTTTTAATGATTTTGCGTAGAAATATCGTCCTTTGACTTTATTTTTTGTTTGCAGCTGTAGAATGGGAACCAGACATGGAACTTTCATGGACAGACCACCATTAAAGATTTATGTTAAAATATAGACTATATATGGTAGGCTACCTTTTAGCAGACACGGTGAGGGAAAATTTGCAAGTTTTGGAAAACGTTAATATTTAATAAAAATCGTTAAAAGTCCCGAAAGACACAACATTTTTTCATTGTCCTTTTTATCCAACTCGGCAGAAAGTCCTTAATGACTGGTGAACTGGATAAAAATTGCCACTTGAAGGAGTTTTGGCAACGCAAAAAGAGAAGTTTCCCGTGCCACAATAATACTTAATTAGGGATGCCGCGATAATAGGAGTCTGACTATATCTTTAGGGGTGGATCCAGGATTTTCCAAAAGGGGGAGGGGGCGCGTGAAATGTAATGTAGCAGATGGTGAAGGCAACCTGTGGCCAAGAGAGAGAAGGGGGGGGGGGCAAGAGGGGGGGGGGCCAAGAGAGAGAGGGGGGGGGGTAGAGAAGGAGACCTACATGTAATGTGATTAAAAATAATGCGTTCGAGTACCACGAAGCCGTAACGACGTGGGGTCCGGGACCCGAAAGGGAATTTGGATTCTAGATGCTCTGTGGTGCGATATCAGGCAACTTTTTTGAGCAAAAGATCATCATTTAAACATCATTTTCGAGTTTGAAGTTATTGAATCAGCTATACCGAGAATTTTAAATTAAACTGTAGGCTACAATATTTATTCGGGGACTACAAATCGAAAAGATGTTTGTTTATCAAGAAGCTTACATTATCCTTTTCGAAATGCACTTCGTCAAAAAAAAAAAAAGTATTGGAAACCAATACTTAAAAGAGGTAGGTTTTATTTGATGCAAACCTGAACTATTAAAAATCCGGAACTAGGAAAACGATTGTTCTAGCCAAGGGCGGATCCAAAACACAATTTTTGGGGGGCCAAAAACAATTTTGGACCCCCCCCAAAAAGTGGATTTTGGATTCTAGATTCTCTGTGGTGCGATCTGAGGCAATTTCTGACCACTTTAACCAATGTTTTTTTGAGGAAAAGATGGTGGTGTACTCATTGCCTGTCTTTATTGCAATGTCACACACAAAAAAAAAAAAAAAAAATTGGTAAAAATTGGCCCCCTTTGGCCCCCCCCCTGGATCCGCCCTTGGTACTAGCTGGATCTACAACTACACATGTAGGCCTATGTTATAAAAACTAGATCGTAAGAGGCCCAAAAAACATGACCCTGTAAATACATTCTATATATCCCCAAACATCTTGAAAATTAACAACACAATTTACAAATTAAAAGTTTGTTAGGAGAGTAATGGACTTTGTCTTAGAGCATGACCGATACATCTTTGAGTGTGATTCTATAATGTTAACATCAACAAACAGCAACAATACTCAACCTTATCCTCTCTTTGTTGCATTAAGGTTATGAACAATCAGTCATCAATATGGACACGGCCACAGACTACGACTGGCTCTTTCCCAGGGGTCAGTTCTCCCGCCAAGCCAAGATCCTGGAGACACATCTTCTGTATTCAGGAAGTCTGTCGGCCAGATCACAGGGTGCTGATATCCTACGGAAAACGCATCTACCCTCATCCCACCACCAGCTGAGAACATCACACAAAGAACACCCGATTGCCAGTCAGTCTCTGATGACAGTTGCCAAGAGGGACCTGGTCCGATTGTCGGCAACACATGTCTTGCCTGTACCCCTGGAGAACGGACTTTTTCCAAGGCCCGAAGATGGCCTACTAATTAGCAAGCTTCAGCATGATCTTAGCAAGAAAGAAAGAGAGGTTTTAAAAGCCTCCCAGGGCCTTCAGAAGGAGACCCTTGAGGGGGTAAAACTGAGAGGTGAAAACCAAGTACTCGGACAACAGTTAGAGCAGACATCGGCACGGATTGGGCAGTTAGAAGCCCAACTTGGACTGCAGGACAGGAAATTAGCATCCAGGGAAAAGTAAGTATCACTCTTACATGTTGAACATGATGAGCAATGTGAATCTTTACTCTGCTGCACCCTACAAAACACTTCAGTATTTGCCTGAAAGAGAACGCCTTATGTTTACTGCATGGGAACTACTGCACAGGTTAGCAGCCACAAAATTCAAGGAATACAATACTTGTTAACAAATGACCAATGCCCAAAGCACTTAAACGGGAGTCTTTAAGCAAGTTCGGGTAAGGACCATAAGTCAACAAGTGGTTGATTTGTGAAGGAACTTACACCTCCGCACTATTAGCAACTGTGTGAACTCCTCGTCGTTTTTTTTTCCTTTTTCAGCCCATGCCCATAGCATTTGTACATGTTTTTTTGTCACCGGCACTTTGGGCACTAAAATCAATCCGATTGCCATTATACCTGGCACACACTTGGACATGTTGGACCACCACCCACAGATGGTCGCCGAACATTGATGTCATCATGACGTCATCACGAGTCACGTGACGTCACAATATAGGTGCATATTTGAAGGCCCATATCTCCACAACGACAGGCCCGATTGGGTTGAAACTTGGTACATACCTAAACCGGGATGTGTTATAGATAAAAATTTAAGTGACGTCATGATGACGTCATCACGTGACAAGTGACGTTATATTAAAAGTGCATACTTTGAAGGCTTATATCTACAGAACAACAGGTCCGATTGGGTTGAAAGTTGGTATGTACGTAGACCGGGATGTGTTATAGATTAACAATGAAGTGACGTCATGATGCCGTCATCATGGGTCACGTGATGTCATATTAACGATTAATAGATTTAATCTTTGAAAATCAATATAATCGATAGAATAATCTATGGGCTTTAATTTTGATGTGATATGCAAAATCATGTGACAATTCCTTCCGGTTGAAACCGGAAGTGCCTTGTAATTTAAAATTGGTGAAAGATGTGAACTTGCTTTCAACGATGTATGCTCAGCCTTAATTGTTATTTACAAAACAATTGATAGTTACAGATGAAAATTGATGTGACGTCATCACGTGACATGTGGTGTCATAATTCAAAGCCCTATGAGAATGTAATCACATATTATATGCAAAGTAATCATGTATATATGCAATTCAAAGAGTGTTATCATTTATTATATGCCACCATTTATTATAAACAGAACTACACATCCTTCCTGGATCATCAGGATGGAAGTTATACCTAAAACTTGTGACATGTCACAAAAAGTTACCGAAACAGCCCTGTGTTTGTCCACAAACATAAATCTAGTTTGGTTTATATTTTGTTTATTTTTGATGTGTTTTCTCCAACATTATAGAGCAGTTGCCGAGCTCAACCAGTTCCTCCATGAAACTGCCGAGAAGCAGTCTCAGGCTCGGGCAACCCTCAAGGTTCACATGGAGGAGTTAATTGAGCGAGCGGAGAGTGCGGAGAAGGAGGTTGTGACCCTGCGGAGTGTGAGTCACACACCTCGCAGTCTGCAACCTGCTGGCTCCATGGGCACACTTGGTAGCGATGACACTGGCGTATATTTCAGGAGTAGACGTGATCAGGATCAGGTACTAGTTATGAGTAATGCATCTTTACCTCTAACTCTCCCATACCCTTCAAAATCTGCAAGGAGGCTTTGCGGGATTTTGCAGGATTGGGAAGGTAAAGACTTGAAATCAAGTCGGTAGTTGGGTTTAGTCAGCCTGTGCCACCGTGTACCGGTCGGCGTTGACTATCGCATGCCGTCCTGGGGTTACGTGTAGCCCGCTTTATAATAACATGCGGGAGCGATTCCTGGATCCTCGGCCCAACATACATGTACATTGTATTTGTACGTTGATTTTATCGCTGAGTATAATATTTTTATGGAAAAAAACAGCAAAAAAAGAAGGAAGCCTGTATTGATCAAGCATGCATGCGAACTGTATCCCCACTCTAATAATGGATGCTTCCCCACTGATGCAGCCGGGTTATCATTGGCCCTCTCTATGGAAACGTAATGCATTTGCTGGACGCATAAATGAATAACTGTCTGAATTCATATTCGTCAAGTTGTTAGACATGTCGGATCGATGGCGGATGTAAACATGATATACAATTAACTACATGTGCAGTGTTAGCGAGCGCCATCCTAGTATATATTGGGGCCTCATCGGACAAAACACGACTGTGTAACGACTTGTCCTCAATAAGTCTAGGAAGGTACGGCCCAGCTGCTGTTATTTGGATTGAATGTTGAAGTTTCAAGAATGTACGATTGGGTGCCAGCAGAATGGTGGTTTTGAATGGAAAGTCTAGTTTTCATTTCAAAACCAAATAACTTTACTTGTATTTAAGTCACAGCAGTTTTGCACAAATTGATTTAACAGCAGATAAGGCTGTGACTCCATGAATGAAGAACAGTAACAAGGCAACACTGCACACCATAAAACCACTTGTACATGTACATTGTACATTCACACGGTATGTTTTCCAATGAAGACTCTGCTTGTCACTTGTACTCATGAACTAAACTGAAAATTGAAGTTTTTAACAGCTTGTTTTTGTTTATTGCCAACACCAAATTTGTCTTTGGACATGTTGGAGTGATCTTAGAGATGTCAAGTTGGATATCAAGTTGTGGATATGGATATATATTATAACCGTAGAATGTAGATGTTTTTGCAATGATACTCATCAAATCATTTAAATCAACCTACATGTATGGTATTTATCCTTTGAAATAGATTCATCCTAAAGGCCGTCAAGAACTTCACGTCCCAACTTGGAACGCTAGCACTTTGCAGTCTTCGAACCATTCCATTCAACCAGTCAATGATTGGTCATCCCCAAGGGATTTTAGTCCTGATCATCTGCCATCCAGCTCCTCTGACATCCAGACATCAGCTCGATATTCTACAAATCAGTATCCAGAGTTGGGTATCGGCCCTGCGGTATTGGACCATGACTCTGATGGGAACCGACTATTGGCAGTTATCAATGCTGATTCTGGTGTGGGATCCTTCTGCAGCGGGAACCAGCTAAGTGCAGCTGGCAGCACTGCCCAACTCACCTCAAAATCACGGCCACATTCAGAGAAGGGTGTGGTCCCTTATCGCATTCCCCAACAGCAAAGCAGTCGCAATCTTCTGGACAAATCTCAAAGCTTTACAAATGGCCCAGAGCAAATTACCAACACACAAGGAGCCTGTGCAAGCAGAGAAAGTCTCCAAGCGGAGTCCTTGATCGAGCCAACGATGAATCCCGCCCTCCTTCAGTCTAGCCCTGCCCACCAGAGTCCTGGCAATCCAGCCATAAGCAACAGACCCTGGGACCTGAACTTCTTAACGGGGGTAATGGAAGATGTTTTGAAAAACCGAGAAGCCAAAAAACGACTTGAAATGAGTAATCCATCCAGGGCTGGTCAACAGCAACTTAACCAATCAAATGTGAACTCTGTATCCACCGGCCAATCACATTCACCGGTTCAGGCATACAGGCCAGATGTTACACCATCACCTTTGAGCCATCATTGGTCCAGTAGTGATTATGATGATGATGATGATGATGATGATGATGATGACACAGATGAAACAAATTCAGCCAAACAGCAAATCCACCATTCAAACCGGCCAGGTAATTGACATGTACATGTATACACATATGCACGGGTTGAGTCAGAATTGTGAAGCATACTGCTCAAATGTGCTGAAATTGAACAAAATAGCATCTAAATGTGTCGTTGTAAAAATTAATTGGAATTCTAAATAAATTATATCAGCTCAATATGGGAGGCCAGTAGACACAACAAGAAGGTACCGGTGCGTGTATGTTTGAAATTTGCTGGAATAGAACAAATCCAACTACATGTACATTTCCATCCAGAAAGTACATCAGGAGCAATTCACAATACAATTCACAATACATACATGTACATTGTGCTTAAGGGCTGTCCAGAATAAACCGAATATTTGAATATTTGATCATCAATCGAATATTCAAATAACTTCTTGCCATTTTTGTATACTCAAAAAGAGAAAACTACATGTACATTGTATGCACGAGCGCAATTTTAATTGTAATGTTGCGTTTTTATCGTCAGTTGATACTTTTTCGTCGATGGTACTTTCTTGTCGACACGTACATGTATTTATTGGTCCCATTCTTTTAGCTGGGTAAAGACCCTGCACAGTTATACAGTACTTGCTGCAATTGCAAAACACTCCAGTGGCCCATTATATCCATCACCGCATGCGTGTGTAAAACTTGATCGGCAAGTTTCGAATATTTGAATTTTCGGTCAAGTGCAGTTTTGAATAATCGAATACTAAATCATTCGAAAATGGACAGCCCTATTGTGCTTCCAATGTTGACTGCAGAGAGGGTATTTGTTTTACACATGGACAACTGCACACACAATTCCATTTCCCAGAGTTGTAACCAGTCACTGATTTTTGTGACTCGAGTCGAGTTGAGTCATTCTAAAGAAGTGACTCAAGTCGAGTCTAGTCATTTTAAAGAAGTGACTTGAGTCGAGTCGAGTCATTAGGTCAAAAGGTCGAGTCGATTCGAGTCAAATATTTAGCTCGAGTCAATTCGAGTCGTGAATATTTGAACACTATATACCAAAATTTATAAAAGGAGGCCATAAGTTAAGCCAGCGTTTGAATCCAAGAGCTTTATAAGAAATCGCCCAAAACCAATGATGAAACAGTGAATTAGAAAATGTGTTTAAAAGTCTGGTTCCTAGATTGTATTTTGTGCGTTCTAGAACCATGAGGTGAGAGTCTGTGGCATGTTGTATATTTGTACATGACTGCTATTCGCAAAGTGAAGTGAGCACAAACTTTGCACCGTAAGTCATTGCAAATACTTTTCGCAAAGTTGTGCTTTTATTTTTGGGACTCGAGTCTTATTAGGCTCGCTCGAGTCGAGTCGAGTCTTCTGATAAGGGACTCGAGTCGAGTCGAGTCATTTGCTCGCAGTGACTCGAGTCGAGTCGAGTCATTTACCCTTAGGGACTCGAGTCGAGTTGAGTCACCAAAAATTGTGACTCGAATCGGACTCGAGTCGAGTCATTGACTCGAGTCATTACAACTCTGCCATTTCCCTTTATTTCAGCCAGTCATGTCAGGTGGACATTTTGTGTGAACAAAATGGAGTTTATTTACGAGGCTTCAAAATGGATTTGTGGTTGTGTGGTACTGCATGCAAATAATAATGACTTGTAAGTATTCAGAATGTGAACAGTGAAGTTAAAAAACCCCCATCTTTGAGACATTAAGAGCCTTGTTTGTTTTGCTTTTAGTGAGATCAAACGTGAGGGCACCCTCTGCGCAGGCTCCCCATTGGCAGGTAGTCTGGCTGTCTGTGTTTGCCTATCTCGATACAGAGACTCTACTCACGTGTGCTGAGGTGTGTCGTGGGTGGAGAGCAGTCTCCAAACACCCATCACTGTGGCAGAGAGTACGCCTAGCCAACCACAAGATCTCATCCAAGGTATGCATTGATCAGTGTTCTCAACAACAGGTTTTGGGAGCGTGCGTATGTTGACCTGCTAAGGTTTGGTCACCTCAGCACTGTGCCACCCTGCTAAAATGTTCATTCCATGGAGAACAATAGTGTGTTGACTCTTCACAATGGTGAAAAAAAGAGGGGTTTCATTGATGCTTAAACACATTTGCATCTAACCCTTTATTTATCGGGATAGACAGTAAAACCAAGACAAAAAAATTGAAGGACAACAGAAAACAGAAACAACCTAACAGCTCCCGAAAGATCGCCAAAAAGAGACAAAGTCTCTGTCAAGGACCTTAATATGCAGGTGCTGCGGGTTTGTGCACATTCAGAGTGGAATTAGTTTTGTAAGGTGTTTGATCTTTAAAATAGACACGCTTATTAGGGTTAGATTAAAGGGAATATACATCATTTGCTTTTGCTGTAATTTTCAGAAATGGATGGAATTGGGGGGTTGGAAATATATAGCAAATATAGTTACACTGACTTTTTTGAGTTTTGGGGTTCGAAAATGCTATAAAAACCAAGAAAAACAATCATTTTCCTGTGGTCTGGTTCCCTGACTCCATTTAAGAAGAAAGAGAGCAGTTTACATATATTGGGGAATTGTAAGGTCAGGGAACCAGTCTAGCTGGCTTATACCCGTTCATAGGTGTGTAATCGATTGCAAACAAGTGCGATGGTCAACTGGGGCCAGTATTTGAAAAAAAGATCGGCCGATCAGCGTTGGAAATTGGTACAAAAATACCACTTTTCTTGAAAATGACAGTATACCAGGTGTCATGATTTTACAGGATGCTTTACACTGTCATTCACTAACAGTCCAGCAAGGTATTTCAAAATGATTTGGTAGTTTTATTTTTTGATGTTTGCAAATGTTGTATTTTCCCTTTAAAGAAGCTGAAATCTGGTTTTAACAAGGACATCTGTTGCATGTTCTTTCTACCACAGAGAAACTTCGCAAAAAGTAGTTGCCTATATCACATTTTCTCCACGAATGTTGGGTCTACGGATTTCCAACTTGATGGAGATTGTAGCCAAACTATCCTGCTCTCTATCCATGTAACATTTACTGGGAATTCCTGCTGACAAGATACCGACAATTCAAGATACGGTGTTTAGCCAGTTACATGTAACTGGAAAATAATACACACACAGAAACCAGCAAAAAGTTGTTGAAATTTTTAGTTGTTAGCATCAAGATAAAGGGTTTGAATTCTGTTGTTCTTTCCTACCATGCAGTTCCTACAGACTATCTCCCAATGGAGCAAAGGGCTGCAACAGCTTCACTTAGAAGGTCTGAAGCCACGGAGCAGGGCTCAAGGAGAAAGCAGGGAAAAATATGCTAAAAGCATTCGGTATGTCATCTTAGTATGCTGATCATGGCATTGGCTTCTTCACTAGCTGTTGAACTTGAAAAGTCTTCATGTTATATAATGGGTGCGTTCGTTTAGCTCACCCGGGTCGACATAGGTCAGCCCCGTGCCGTTTGATTAGCTCTGACATCATTCTCGGGGCTCATCCGGGTCAGCCACCACAGACCCTGCTTGTGAAGCGGAGTCAGTGGTGGAAATACGTCACACGCATACGTCGCTCATTCCAAGAAACGGACGAATACAGCGACTGGACAGCGGAAATCTGAAGTAGACTTAAAAATTAACTTTTTTTTAAGTCTAAAGGTAATCATTTATTGAGTTTATTGCGACTTTTCAGGCTATAATTCCAGCCCAACTTTTTGAGTTTTGCAATTTGACTAAAAAACGGTAATCTCAAACTAACATGACTAAGACCCAATCCGAAACGGGTGTTTTGTCAGTGGCTACAGCCACGGCTACGAACATCCCGTGAGGATCGTGATGGCCCGCGCTTTAGCGTTCGATTAGCCCGGCTGTCGTGGCTAACCCATCTACCTTTACCCGAGTTGATCCGGGTGAGCTACTCGAACACGCCCGATACATGTACATTTGTACAAGAAATCAATGAAGTTTAGTAGTTCTAGCTATTTGAAACCTCCAAATTAGCAGACGTACAATGGTCATTCTGATAACTTCTCTGCTCCCCAAAATGTACAATACAAAAGCATCAGGTACAAAATTCAAGGTTATCATCTTGTTATTATAATAGAAAATAATTCATTCATTCACATTTTCATTCACATCCACATTTTGAGTGTCCTGAGACATTGTCAACACTTTACCTTGATATTGAACAACTCAGCACTAATAAGATGGTACTGAGGAATGTGATTGTTGGACAGAGTCATTGCTTTTCCTGTCTCTAGGGGTAGTCTGGAGCCGGGCTTGGAGTACATGTTGATTGCAGCTGGAGCCGGACTCATCACCTTAAAAATAGTGGACTGTTCTAACATTTTGACTGAGAGGTAAACAAAACTGTAGTGGAATTAATTAAACTCAGCTCATTCAAAGTTTCCCTGTACCTTCAAAGTCAAAGTTAATGAAATTCAGTAAGTGTTTAAAAACAACAAGGCTGGATTTAAGTGCAGTGTAGTGTCAAGAGCAGTGGACCAGTAGCTTTTCACACTACTGATTAGAATTACTTAAAGAATATCAAATGCTCCATTTGACAAAGTCAAACGATCAAAGTTTTAAACATAGTTTATCTGTTTGCTTCCCATGTACCAGTTAATGATAAACGTGCAGAAAACATTCTTGTACATTACTTGAAGTTGAGTTTTGTTGAACTGAAAATAACTGATTATAGTTTTTCGGCAGTAGTCTTGTAAAATGGGTCTGGTCTAGTAAAATTTTGGAGCTATCCCAGTATTGTGAATTTTAACCACAAATTTGAGCCCTAAACATACATTGGTTTGAGAAGTGACTCGCTAGAAGTGACTGACTTTGCCTTCAATTATTTTTGTCTTGTAGGAGTCTGTTTCTGGCCAGCTGTTATTGTCGCAATCTGTACAGTCTGACATACATCAGCCAGACTGACCCCATTGGTCATGAGGTCATATGGGCGTTAGGAGCTGGCTGCCGGAATATAGCATCCCTCAAAGTCCCACCACGTCAACCATGGTGCGTAACAAAAGTAACGTTCCGCCGCCATTGATGCACACGGCAATCAAGTTGGCCTGAGGGCAACGATCAGACATTCCTTCATTCATTTGTGACCCTATTTGTGATTGACTCATGATTTAAAATGACTTGTGGTGGACTTGTGATCTGACTTGTGATAGACTTGACTGCAACTATTCTTGAACCCAGGTTTGTTGCAAAAGAAAGCTGATTATTAGTTCCAGTGACATTAAAATCTCAATTTGCAAGTACATGTAGGTTTTTTCATTTTCTGTGAGCAAGTTACAGATTACTCCATTTAATCATTTAATCACTGGCAGTTGTATACCACTGTGTATTTACATATATTTTGTTTATCAAATTAGGTTTTGCCCTTCACCGACGTATATACACTGTATACTCAGTGTGTTACCTCCCAAGTCAAAGTTGGAAAAAATCACTCGGGTGGGACTCGAACCCACGACCTCCTGCTTTCTAGTGCAGATGTCTTACCACTCGACCACCGAGCTAACGGGATCGGTTGGCTGGTTCGAATCTGATGTACATAGCAGCGGGTACCGCATTAACTATTCATAAGATGAAGGGCAAAACCTAATTTGATTTACATCACCCCGACGCAAAAAAATGCCATCTTATGAATATATTTTGTTTGTTCAGTCATCAGCACCAGCGACTTAGCAACCGATGCTTGCAGATGATTGGCCGATGTTGGCCGCTACTGCTCGCGCTCAGTGTGGGTGGACCAAGCATTGATATCAATGGACTCGTCTCTGTTGGTAAGAGAAATGTTCAAGTTACGCATGGTATCGATTCTCTCTCCATCTTATTTGATATTGTGTCATGTTAAGAATCTGAGATGTACAGGGTGAGGTAAAAAAAACGAAACCCAAATGTCGGGACCATTGTTTTAGTGAAGTTCTGCATATAGTACTTTCAAAATCTAGGATATGAAAGCCCAATTCATAAGCTGGTTCCCACCCCACAATCAGTATCATTAATTAACAGACCGAAAGCCAATCTGCTCGCAAAGCGGATCTGTGTAACCCACCCATACAAATCCACCTGTGTAATTCATAAGCTTTCTTTTAGTACAAGAATCATTTAAATCACTCATGTAATTTTCAAGTTACGGAATTTTAAACACAACCACCGTTTTAAAGTTCTGTCCACAGATCACAAAAAGGTATTATTCTTTCAGCAAAATGAAAACAAATCACATAGGGATGTGTGTGAATTGTTTTGCTGAAAAAAACGCACACTTTTTTGTGATCGTGGACAGAACTTTAAAACAGTGGTTGTGTTTAAAATTCCGTAACTTGAAAAGTACATTAGTTATTTATAATGATTCTTGTACTAAAAGAAAGCTTATGAATTACCAAGTGGGTGGATTACACAGATCCGCTTTGCGAGCAGACTGGCTCCGGTCTGTTAATTACTGATACTGATTGTGGGGCAGGAACCAGCCTACCCCCCGAGGATGGGAATTATTTTCTGGCAGCCAATCATTCGAAATTGCAAAATAATAATTCAATAACTAAACATGGGCCGATCTATTTGGGTGATGTCTCATTCAAAACTAAATAACGTTTGTATTGCTACACAAATGGCAATTTAGAAAAGGAATCTATTTTTCAGGATGATGCATCTGTAATTTCATAACTGGCTGTCATGCATCACACGGTGAAAACAATTCTGTGATATTTTTGAATTTGATACCACCTTTTCTGAGACCTACATTTACATGTACTTGAATAGTTTTCACTGAGTGGTCAAGCATATTTGTATTGTTTTTGTGTGTCTACAGCCCGTAACTGCCCAAGACTGCAAGTCCTGGAATTAGACCATCTGCCTGAGGTCACAGAGGTCATTGCCGTGGCGATGTGCCAGGCTGGCTTGAGAGGTCTACATACTCTAATTCTCAGAAACACTCTTATCAGTCCGGCTGCCATTATGCAGTTCAATGGTACATTAACTTTTCATGCATTAATTTCCTTTCTTTTAAACCTGCATGCTCCGTGAGATCATTCTTCAAAAATGGCAGCAGCACAAAAAGGGTTAGGATGAGTGATTATCTCTGTTATAACAATGAATATAAGTAACAAAACTACTATATACCCCCCCCCCTTGAAAATTGTATCTTTTGCCCACCTGCTTTGGATACCCCACTACTGAGACATGTATACATTGTGCCCTTCCACTATGGGCTCTGTGCGCCAACAAGAGAGGGCGCTTTTTGACCACTTTTGAGAATTCCAGGGGGGGGGGGGGAGACACACTGCATGCGCATACTGGTTCACGTGCATATGGCATGAAGTACACACGACTAATTTTCATTGAAAATGTGCACAAGGCCAAACCCCACGTGAGCGTCGTCAATGCATTTGAATGTCTCTAATGGCCTCCCCAAACTCTCCCTTTCTTACCGTTGAGGGGGGTACTTTTGCAAGGAGCCCATAGAAAACTTCCACTGTTATTGTGAAGCACTACTTAAAAGGATTGAAATCAAACTTCTTTGAAGTACAGATAAACCAAAATATTGCAAAAAGCAATAAATGCACAATAAGAGCATTTCTGAATCCATTTCCCACCCCCCCCCCCCCAATTGTATCTGATTCATGTTACAGCAATCCTTATCTTGATTTTTACAGGTGCTTGTCCGCAGTTGAAATCGCTGTCTGTGTACCTCAGTCCCAGCATCTGTGGTGGAGACAACAGAGACTTCCACAATATTGTCTCAAGGCTCAGGGTAATGTTCTGACAAGTCAATCCCAAGTCATTTCTTTGGCATTGTTCATCTCTCGTTACCTGTGATGATTTGACTTGTGATGGAGTTGTGGTTGACTGGATTTGGTGATGTGATTTTACTGAGTCTTCTCCAAGCTTTGATTCCGACTGTGAATCTTTGTAGACTTATTTTGCACAAAGCACGCCTTCCAGATACTGCACTAGTAACTGTCAGACACGGGCACTTGTTATTGCCATAGGGGAGTCTTGGCACAATATACTCGCCTTCAACCTCTGTGATCCAAGTCCAAATCCCAGGCAAACATGTGGGATTTGGGTTTAGTCCCTTCCTGATTTAAGAGGTAATTGTTGATTATCATCAGTGCTACGCAGTTCCGTTTCATTTTGTACATCATCCTAGAATATTCCTCCCGCCTCTAAAACACACATTTATTCCCTTATTATCAATCTCTGGATTTCTCCGGTTCTTAATGCTTGTGCGCACTGTAAGGAATCTTGGTTTCATTACCAGAATATAATTGAAACCCGCCCCGTGGGCAGAACAGGCCGAAAACTGTTCAGTTGTGGTGCAGACTTTCTCATGCAGTATATTTCCCATTAATTCTTTGATGTTTCTCATTGCAGGCTTTAACCAAAAGACGAGTCTTGTCTGAGGTTCTGCATGTTTTCGCCAAATTCAACTAAAGCTGCAACTATAAATGCAGAGTCCCACAGCCTACAAAAGGATTTCTGAATGATTGACTTCCAAATGTTCCAAGGATAAAGCTCCCATGGAGGCAGGGTTTCCAAGAGTCCCAGGAAGAAATTCCCAAGGCTAGACTTCTGGAAGTTTAATAGTAAGGGAAATCTTCTATAAAGACAGGATTTTCTACGAGTCCAGGACAAGGTTTCCTAAGGGTAGACTTGGGCATGTTCCATAAAGAAAAGGCTCCTTAATACGGCACTGTTCCTAGAGTTCTGTTATGGAAAACTTCCATGAAACTTCCATTCAGGGTCTAGTTGTACGTATGTAATCCCAGCAAAATAAGGTGAAATGTGAACTCTTTGAATTAATATGCAAGGTCTGACAATTGAAGTTCAGAATGTGCAAGTTAATTTACATTGCCAATACAGGGCGAGTAAAAAAAAAACGCAACCCAAATGTCGGGGCCGTTTTTTTTAGTGAAGTTCTGCATGTAGCACTTTCAAAATCTAGGATATGAAAGCCCAATTCATAAGCTTTCTTTTAGTATAAGAATAATTCAAACCACCCATGTACCTTTCAAAGTACGGCATTTTAAACACAACCACCGTTTTAAAGTTCTGTCCACGGATCACAAAAAAGGTACGTGTTATTTCAGCAAAAGAAAACAATTGACACACATCCCTATGTGATTCGTTTTCGTTTTGCTGACAGAACGCACACCTTTATTGTGATCCGTGGACAGAACTTTAAAATGGTGGTTGTGTTTAAAATTCCGTAACTTGAAAATTACATGAGTGATTTGAATGATTCTTATACTAAAAGAAAGCTTATGAATTGGGCTTTCATATAGATTTTGAAAGTGCTACATGCAGAACTTCACTAAGAAAATGGTCCCGACATTTGGGTTTTGTTTTTTTACTCGCCCTGTATTGGCAATGTAAATTAACTTGTACATTCTGAACTTAATTGTGTGCCCAACAATGGAAATCTATTTACTTGTTCTGCTGAGAATGCTAATGAAAAACACCTTAACAGACTTCAGTTGTAGTAACTTGTGGAAAAGCTAATAAGTCAGCCTGAACTCTGTTCATCTGTCATTCCAGTTTTCAAGGATTTTGTTTGCATTTTGATAAGGCTTTCATTTTGATTAAAATAATTATTTTTGGTATAAATGAAACCCAGCATTCCTCAAGTGTGGTGCAGTAGATTTTCTGTGCATTGTGTACTTTTGAACTTGGTGTTCTCATTGTGGTAAAAAATTTGTTTCACTTCAAAAAACTTTTAAAAAAAGAAAGAAATAATCCAAATGTATAAAACACGAGTATAATGTTTCAGAAAACTTGTATCAATGAGCTATATACATGTAGTATTTATTATATTTATGTTTAAAATGTAAAAAGAAAGCTTTATTGTACATTTATACACTTTGATTTACATTGAAGCTTAATATGTTAACACAGGCACAAGGTGTGTATGTATATATTTTGCATTGTTTGTACATTTTGCAGTGAATTTGCTTTTCTGTATGGCAATATTTTAGAGCAATTTCCATTCAAGCATAAGTGAATATTTGCATAAATAAATGTATTTGTTCAGATATAAATGGAAAGTGCACCTGTTGAAGAGAACTTTTATGTGTGTGTCTGGAATAAAAAAGTTTTGTCACAAATTCAGAACTTTAACTAAGTAGGCCATAGGGCATGTGCCATTAATATGCTCTATTTCAGATTTTCGTGCAACAGCAGTGGGGACAACCTAAAATTACCATAGACTGGTTGGGTATACACCTCTGATCAAAAATTCAATATCCCAAGATAGGGGGGATGCTCACTAGTTTTTTAAAGTGTAGTTGATGACAGCACGTTAACCAACGGTGCATCAACTATATGTTAATGAAATGTTGACTTTTCCTGGCCAATTGAACAATGTTTGCTAATTAATCCATGGGTGACTGTTTGGGGGACTGTTGTTTGAGCTTCTGGCGCAAAATACTGGGGGTACTTATGATTTTTTAACATATAGTTGATGAAAACCCATGTTAACGGATGTTACATGTGAGCCTGCTGTGCCAGAGGAAATAAGCCGATTAATAATTTTGTATTGTTTTACTTTCATCCACATAACTTATTTCAGAGTCAGATTTGAAGATCATGTGACGAGAATGCCTCCAGTCTCCTGGACTGCAGTACATTAATTCCATGCATACAGATTTGTTAGTACTGAAGTTATTTTGTTCTGTATGATCCTCTGTGACAACAAAAGATAGAGACAACCATACCAGTCATGTAATTAAAAAAAGAAGTATATTCTTTATTTTCCATTGATCTTTGTTGAAAAAAAAAGCTTATCAGGCTGTTCTTGCCACTTTAACTTGTATGCTAAGCTTATCTATGTACACATTACATGCCTTTTTGAATAAATAATGAAAGGTTTGCGGAAACACCATGTGCGAATATTTTCTCAACTAAGAGAATGGTTCTGAAAAGAACCAGAGGTATAAACTCGACGTTCCGAGAACCAGAGGTATAAACTTCGACGGTCAGAGCATACTGACCGGAACGTCGAGTTTATACCTCTGGTTCTTTTCAGAACCATTCTCTTAGTTGAGAAATTATTCCCACATGGTGTTTCTGCAAACCTTTCATTATTTAGTATCTCCACCATGTAAAGCCTCAAATCTTACTTTTTGAATAAGTTTTCATATTTTCTACTTGTTAATTGTACAAAATGTACTTGTCAACATTGCTTGTAACAAACGGCTTTCTTTGAAACTCCTTTTTCAAAAAAAATATCAGAGAGAAAACAGACTAAATTATTCAGTGAACTTCGATGCAATATAAATGAAATTTAGGAAAGAAAGATTTGATTTGGTGTTCAAAGCAGCTGATATGACGTTAAATAAAATATCTTCCTTTTCTGGGAATAAACTTTTAAAGTTCACACAGAAGTATGTCTCCATTTTGTTCATGTGTGCAATTAAACAAGGTAATATGCTTTGTGCAACATCTCCATTCAAACTTATTTATCCCCACCCCTTATATTATCTTTTAGTAATTACTGAATTAACCACACAGGGGAACTGACTCAGGCTTTGGAATCCAGAAGATAGCACTTGAATGCATTGATTCTGTAGAAAGGACTCTTTATGTATCCATAGAATGCCTGAGGTTCCAAACCTCATAACTCTAGCCTCAAAACCCAGTTCCATACAGAATTGCCAGGAAAAACAAGTAGCCTCATAGCCTTTTCAAACACACTGCATTTTCTTTCTTTTCTAGCGTTGAGAGTTAGTCACAATGTCTCCTCGCTCATAAAGGATGTGTTCCCTGCTAATGCTAATATGCAAACCCCATAATGTACTGTCTATAGATGCAAAATTGGTTTCAAGCACCTCAATTTCTGTTGGATTTGATGATAGTCCATCTATTAAAATGTTATTTCTTTGACAAAATGGCACATATTTCATTTATTAACCCCAACAGAACTCGACCCATCAAACTCCAATGGCATGTTTTGTTGGAATCTGTCAGGATGGGTACAGTACCCCTAAACTGACAGTCTTTTACATTGGGTTGGCACACCTCCAGAATCAAAGTCAGAAATATATGTGCGCAGTTTCCCATGGAATTTGCCAGGATGGGTATGGTTCCTAGTAAATCATGCTAGGGAGTTTGGGTTAAGCAAGGTTGGCCAAAATCCTGTCGTCATACTTGTATCCAATTCTGTTATGTTCTTTTAATAAATCTCCCTTGTCTCCTTGGAGCACAATAAGAAAACGTTAAGAGTGTCTTGTTTGGCCATCAATAGATGCATGTATAACATATGAGATTCTCATACATGTAAGCGGTCCTTTTATTACCTAAGCATATATCATGCTCAAGCACCGTCACTACATTGTTTCATCCTTACTGTGTATGCGTTCTTCAAATGGTCCACTATCTTGCAATGCAAAACCTCATATGAGGTTAAGACTTCACGTTCGAATCACATAATGTTAGGTTCCCATACCAGTACACTGTCTGTGCAGGAATACTATGCAAACTCCTCACATGTAGTATCTGTCCGAGGTTGCATCTTGCTGCATGTAGATTGCATCTTGCTATGCAAACTCCTCATGTGTCGTATCTGCGTGAGGTTGCAAACCTCTTTCGAGTAGCTTCTTATTTCTTGTCTTTTCCTCTTCTTGTTTCTTGAGCTGCTCGGCCCTCTGTGCCTCCAGAATCTCATCAATGGAGACCTGCTCAAGGGGGAGTGAGCCTTCATTTTCCAGGTCCTGCAAAAAGTACATTTCAGAGATATTTTGGTACAAACACTTTACTTCTGATACTTTACCTGGTCACCCAGACCTAGTTAAAGGTGACTTTTGTCTGGAAACAGATCATAATTGATCCTATAACTTAATTTTTTTAGGACAAAAATTTTGAATCCTGAATTCATTCGCTCGACACCGAATAATTACAAGAACATGTCAAATTTTCAAGGTATGGCTGTGTAAAATCTAAATTCTACTTTTAAAAGATATTTTTGAATTTTTTTTAAAATTATGTTTTTCAGCCAAAAATGACACATTCTAGACGAAAGTTTTCTTTCCAATGCAAGCATGATTCAGTTATAAGCTACATGTATTATACTTCAGGCTCTGATTTTTCAACATCAGAAGTCTACATTGAGGAGTACCCCCTTCTTAATCCAAACTACCAAGGCATTTTGGCAATGAGCTAGGGTAACCCTCTTGGGTGTGTGAAAATCATATTGAAGTTGGAGGATTCAGTACTGTTGGGTTAAAGTTCTGAGGGACATCATTGTCATGTCAAGCCTCATAATGGGTCCAGGCCAAGTAACAACCCCGCCAAATCTAACCAACCCTCCTGCAGGACTTTGAAGGACCAGTGAGGGTTAGGATTTACTTACAATCTCCCCAATGAGCATCACATTTTCTCCTCTGACCACAAAGACACCTCGAGGGATGTCTCCATACTGCTTGCCCACATGGATACGCTCAATCGTCCGGTGAAGTGCAAGGTTGGCTAGTGAAAGGAAAAAAAAGGAAGATCATCTCATGATTTAAAAAGTGCAAGCTGTTCATGAAGGAACAGAAACCACTGTATAACTGCAAATGTTTGCTTTGTAAATGAAGAAAATGAACTTAACTACATGAATGGAGATTGTGGAGAGAGCCGAGCAGGAATGCTCAGCTATAAAGTTGAGAGGAAATTTATACATGTCAGCTTGGGGGAGTGGGAGGAGGACATACATGTAAGCATCAAAAGCAGAAACCTACCAAACTGATCAATGCTGCGCAAGTAGCCAATCAAAGTCCTGCCATCTCGTAGAACAACTAGAATTTTCTCTGGTACAAAAAAGGGATGATGTATAGATTACAACAAATCTTGACAATAACATTCCTGATAAGAAATGGAGTTAAATTGTCTTGAAGATCCTACATCTACATGTAGTCCAGACAGATGTCAATTGTTAACTGGACTCTTCACCAAAACTACTTCAAAGCAAGAACACGGATAATGTTGGCCTCCCTTGCATGCATGTTAACTTGGATGTCATGAAATGAATCCTAACCATGCTCAATTTAACGATTTAACTGGAGTGTCACAGCCTAGCAGTTAAGAGCACCGCACTGGACTCATGTGCTGGTGTTTCAGAGGCAGCAGAATGTGGGTTCGAGCCCGGGTCTGGACACTTGTGCCCTTAAGCAAGGCACTTAACCATTATTGCTTCGTCTTTCGGAAGGGATGTGAAGCTGTAGGTCCCATGTGTTGTGTAATGCAATGCACGTAAAAGAACCCAGTAACACTTATCGCTAAAGAGGAGGGGTTTGCCCCGGTGTTTCTGGCCTCCTGTTAAAACTCCCCTGCGAAGAAGAAACAACCAAGTACCAAGTAACAAGATTCTGCATAGGCCTAATTCAAATACGCTTAATGCCTAATGATACTAATAGTACGTTGGCAATTGTGTAGTGTAGGGCTCTGTTCCCTCATAAATCAAAACCCTGCCCTCTTTCCACAAAATTAAGCTTGTTAGCTGATAGCCCCATAAATGTGGCCAACTTACTGGACTACCTCCATAAATAAAGGCCACACTTGGAAGATGTACCCTAACATGTAGAACTTTGTCAAATTTAGATTTTCACATTTAGGCTTTGTTTGTAGTTCATTTTTGCTTTAGAAGCATACTCACCCTCTTTATAGGATAGGAAAAAAAGTGCTGCATTTTACAGATGTCTATTTTTTGTGTAATTTCATGTTGAAATTTTGATACGCACAAACGAATCTGGAAATTAGCATGAAAAATAGACGTCTGAAAAATGCAGCACTTTTTTCTATCCTATGGGGTAAACTGGGGTAAAAACGCCCATGGGGTAAAAATGCCCACTTGACTTGTTTCCACTGCTAGTAATAAAATATTAGATGAATTACTAAATGGAATATATTTCTAATAAGTACAATGTAAATAAAAACTAATAATAAAAAGAATTAAATTCATTAATATATTTGAAGGGTACGTAGGTGCTGTTGAAAAAAAACTTGAAAAAAAAGTTTCAAAAAATGACCGTTGAAGGTTTAGCCTATAGCGCTTAAAATTATTTTATAAAAAAAAGTATTTTATTTTTGTATTATTCTTTAGTTGATTTATGTTAAGAAGAGTTAATTACATAATTACAAATTTATGATAACAATAATAAAATCTATTTTTATATTTGCTTAATAATGTTTTTTGAGTGGGCATTTTTACCCCGGGCAAAATCAGGGGTCTCGGGGTAAAAACGCCCAGTACATTTCTTGACATAAAACTCTATTGCAGCCTCATTTATCATCAAAAACCTCACTATTAGAACTTTCTACAGCCATATGTTTCTTGTATGAGTAAGTATTAGCTATTAGAGTCCTACCCCATAAATATTGAACAGTGTATTGTGTGAAGTGGGGAGGTACATGCAGGCGGTATCACTAACTGACGTTACGTAGGGGCAAGGCATCTGGCATTTGGTAGGGAATGCCCGAGAAACCATGAGCTCATGGCATTTTCTCAAGAAAAAACAAAATAACACCTTTATGGTGATTTGAGTATACTTTTAATAACTAAATATAGACTAGAAATGGTTCTAAGACCCAACTAGACCGGTTTCTGCTCTCATGCTATACTAGCAGAGCTTCATCAGTAGTAAGCCAATATCGGTATTTTATATTCGGCTAAAGTCGTGTCAAATGTTACAGTGCATAGATACCGGTAAGTGCATGTAATATAATTTTGTGTCAACCTCGTGATGAGTCCAATTCCCGGTTAACGATAAACATTGATTTGACAAGTAAACCTTTCAGACTTTTGGCCTTTTTATAGGCAGGAATTGGTTCGCTGAGATTGCATAATGGGTGTTCCGAAATTAAATGCCAGTCTTTCAGCAATGCTTTTGTTAGCCATGTTAGCTGCTTGGTTTTGATGTGTGGTGTGTGTCGATTATCTTGAAGACTAGAGGTGGTTCTTTTGGTCGTGTTTCATTCATGATTGCTCACAGTTTTCAAATTTTACGTCTTTTATGACTGGCAATTTCCTCTTTTTTGTGGTTACAGAGTAGAAGTTTCTCCATGATTGCATTTCTTTGCTCTAAGAAATCGGTCTCGTTCTTACAGAGATGTGCATATCTTAGTAGTTCTCCTTTGATGTAGCCTTAGGTTATCAGCAGTAGGCTAGAAACATACTATGGTATGCCTAATAATATTGACTATGCTTTGGCTCAACATGATTGAAATAGATTTTTCAATATTGGCAGACATTATACAAGTTTGTTAAGGGCGAATTATGTACGCTAATGTTCCGCTTCCTTCCACATAAAAATACCTGTTTTAAATGATCAAGTTTGTAGTTATAATTAACCAGCTGTGTTTGAAAAGTTATTTGTACTTGATGAAGTATCCCTCAATATTAAATTAATCACAAAAATATGACTATACTACAGGGAAACCTGTGGTATATTCATATTGTTTTTTATAAATGTGGGCGGGCGTTTTTACCCCGAGGCCCGGGTAAAAACGCCCGCCAAACTTCCTCCCGAAAAGGGGGGAAAATTTCCCCTTATCAATATAATGACCATGATTTTATATTTGCACTTGATAGAGGAGACATGTAGTGCATAAAACCATATATTTACTTCCTAGTGTCTCCAAGTAGTACTGAGATATTTAACAAAAACCTAAAAATCGGGCGTTTTTGACCCAGTCATGCCAGTTTACCCTAAAGAGGGTGAGTATGCTTCTAAAGCAAAAATGAACTACAAACAAAACCTAAATGTGAAAATAAAAGTTTGACAAAGTTCTACATGTTTTTGTACATGTTCCAAGTGTGGCTTTTATTAAAGGAGGTACATGTAGTCCAGTAAAATGGCCACATTTATGGGGCTAGTTAGCTGATATTCAACATGTTCAACAAGGTATCTTACTCATGTTATACATGAATATTTGATTTAGATAATTCCAAAGAATCCAAACTGAGGCAAGCACATAAAATGACTTTTCTTATCATCACAGGCAAATGTTTAGGTAAATCCCAAACTTAAAAGTGTCTTTTTGTGCTCATAATGGAACAGGGTCTCTTTTTTTGGTGTTTTGACAATTTACAGACACTATACTACATGCATAAGGAATACACAACCTAGACCCGTGAATGTGGCTTGTATACAACGCCACGTTCACGGGTCTATACACAACCTAGCCCAGGTTGGATGACGTTTTCATTGCATTACGACTGACGTCTAGGGTATATTAAATTGTACTATCATAGTGAAAAAATGTATAACACATTTTTTTCATATTTTTACCTGACGGAGTAAGCTGAAATTTCGCTTACATATTTCTTGTGTCCAGAATTGTGTATGTGCTGGGTTTAGAATTTAAGAAAAGGCAAATATGTCCGTGGGCGGCATATTTACCAAAAATAAACCGCAAGTTCTATGCTTTCGTTGAAAACATTTTCAGTACGAACTCCCTGCGTGAAGACGTGCACGCGCGTGCCGTTTGCTTAGCACTTGCTGCTGTGGCGGCAGTGTGCTAGATGTGCATGTACGCGCGCACGTATTCTTCACACGGGGAGTTCGTACTGAAAATGTTTTCAACGAAAGCGTGGGATTGCAGATTACTTGCGGTAAACACGCTGCCCGCAGACATATTTGCCTTTCCTAGACCCAGTGCAGGCATAGTCCGAGTAACTTGGACCCAACTTATCGCCTTTTTAACATTCGGACATGGGACTATCGCCAGACCATGTCCGAATGTTAAAAAGGCGAAGTTGGGTCCAAGTTATTCGGACTAGCGCAGGCACAATTCTGGACACAAGGAATATGTTAGCTCTACTGAGTGGAGCGTTGAATTATGGGGACCCCTCCATACCCGTAATTCAACGCTCCACTCAGAAGAGCTAGGAATATGTAAACGAAATTTCAGCTTCCTTCGTCATGTTCGTCAGGTAAAAATATGCAAAAAATGTGTTATAATTTTGTTCGCTATGGCAGGAGAGATTCATACCCTGGACTCCGCTGCGTGTACACAACGGAGTTCAACCTGGGCTATACACAACCATGACAATGACATCTGGACATTGATGATTGACAACGATAACCAACAACCGACAACATCGAAACTAATGCACGTCACTTGCACTTCACTTAGACTTACTATCAATTTCTGCAATAAGACTCGCTGTTCCTGGCAGAAATTCCATGTTCACCGACGCACATACATAAACTATAAATTTTGGAAAATTACCCACAAAGTGAGAAGACAGAAAAGATTATTTTGATAGTATTTAGGCCTAGTCGCACATTCCGAGGCTAAGATCAGGACATGACATGCATGATGAATGGAGTACAGGGTGACCGTAAGGTCAGAGCCAAATTTTGCTAAATGCACATCAAAAATCTGTCAGATTTATCAAAAATCTGCCAAATTCCCCAGAATTACTCGAAATACACTATAACCACTTAAAATCGCATGCAGATTGCCTTAATTAAGATTCAAGTTACATAATAAACAATCTAGTCACATAAAGATGTGAAATTATTGGTAAATTTCGGGTAAAACGTGTTTCCGACCACGACGAACTTCCGTTTCCCAGTGAACCTCAGCACCTAGACCAGCCAACCTGTCCAATTATGCAAGGGTTTGTTTGAAAGGATTGAAGCTTTTTAAAACAAATGTACACTTTTTTGTTCAAATTTGCTGTTTTTTTGTCAAATAACCATTTTTGCAGAATTCTGCCAGAAATCTGCCAAAAATCCATTCTGTCAAATTTTCTGTCAAACTCGTTTTTTAAATAAAAATTCTGTCAAAGTTAGCCGAGAATCGGCTAAAACGGTCACCCTGATGGAGTACAGCATTAGCGCCCTCTTAACGACGCCGAATGAAATGACCTTTCTAACTGCATTTTTGCCAACCACGGGTTGCAAAACTATGGAAGGTCCAACACTGCAAAAATAACAAAGAGTTCTTACAGATAACCAAAATATTATCTGATTGTTGGAAATACAACATTGTCAACAAAGCTACAACATAATTCCTAGACATGCCTTTTTGTATTAAGGGCGTTATGGGGACTTTTCTGGGAGAAATATGTTGACAACCACGGCTTCAATTTATGCGCTTGCGGCAGCCCATATAAAATGGCGCCAATGTTTACAAACAATAAGGTCTTTGACCGATTTTTTTTGTAATGAAGGAGGGATTCCATCATCAGCCATTCTAAATTCACGGAGTAGGTGTTACTAGTTTTAGAGTACATGACTTATCCGTACGTGACCCCCCCCCCCCCCCCCCCCCAGGCGCCCGCCACAAAAAATCCGAAACTTTTCGCTTTCCAAGGAAGTGTCTTTTTTAAAGCATTTTTTTAAGACTCACTTTTGACTTCCCATTGGCCCTTACTGTTTAACTTTATGAAATGTGAAAAAATTGATAAGCAAAAAGAACGCCCTCTAGCGTCCAAAAAGGTCCAGTACCCCCCCCCCCCCCCCCCACCGGTTTTCAAATTTACAGCACTTGTGGTGACCGGTGGCCTGGACATCTGGGGGAAATGTTGTTGGGTCCGCCGTGGTGCCCCCCTATATTGTTCCTATCCACTTCCCTTTTTCTTTGTTTATACTTCAACATTCTTTGCAACAGCTCTTATAATTGGTTTTGTACACGTTTCTAATCGAGGTCGTCCTCGATTTGGTTCCTGTCCTCAATTCTTCGATGATGTTTTACGCGTCTGTCCTCGATTTACACCCTAAACTATCCCAGGCTCGTCCAACGTGGGCTTAACCCTAAACCTGCACACACATACCCCTGGCGCATTTAGTGGCTTATTAATTATCACTATCTCGTCGTAATGTAAGATTTTAATGTACGTCACGATGCCAGCACTGGCAATTTACTGAACAGCTGTATAATTGGTAATTAGGGCCTCATTGCTTTAATTTCAACTCGGTTCGCAAACATGATCAGAAATGAGCCCCAAAAGCAAAAGCAAAAGTTCAGTGCGTCCGCCTTGAACAGTGCCCCCCCCCCCGCCAATCTTAATAGGCGGTCGGAAATTTCTGGAGAAAATGGCTACGTTTAATCCATCAGTATAACACAAGGACCGGTGACGCCTGGATACTATGCTCAAACTAATAGCGGAAACTTAACATTAAATGGCTCATATGTAATGCATTTTCCCCATCATTCATTAGCAATTAAACTTTGTCATTTTAGGCAGAATTAATGTTACAGCTATTTCACTGAGCACCAACAGTTGCCAGAATTTTGGATATTTTCCTGTCTGCGGTAAATTTTCTTTTCGTTGTTGATTCGTCGTTTCAGGACATGACAGCTAGTCTATGTAATATACCCTGGCCCTGGCGAAGCCGATGCCGACCATGGTCTATGATACGTAAACAGATTCGGTGATTTATTATGCAACTAGACTGCGTATGACCTCGAGCAGTGGCGTAGCCACGGGGGGCGTGGGGGGGGGGGGCGAGCGACCGCCCCCCCCCATGAAACCTTGTCGCCCCCAGTCGCCCCCCCCCCCCCCACTGAGATTTTGAGTTTCTAAAAAAATTATCATTGATCTACATGACGCCCCCCCCCCCATGAAATGTTCCAGCCCCCCCAGCGGCCCCCCCCCCCCACTTAAAAATTCCTGGCTGCGCCACTGACCTCGAGAAACTGACCAATCAGCAGGCGCCTCCTACGCGCGTAATTCGAGCTCCACGCGTGCGCAAACATCACGCCCGCGATGAGTAGCATATTTGTACAGGTCGTCGTTGTATTACAAAAACGTGGCATCGAAATTGACCAATCACAATCTTAGTCCTGATTTCGGAATGAAATGACGTCACGCGTGCTTACATATATCAGACGTTTTACTAGTCAGGCAGCTTAGTGAATGGATGTGGACATTCCGGACAATAGCGCCAAATTTTCCATACATGCTCCTCAATGCCTTAGCTTTCAATTTTTGATAGGAACCAACTTATCCAATGACAGTATGGCGGCCATCTTGGATTTTAAAGATGCCGGCCATTAAAAACCTATATTTACCAATATATCATCTTCTAAGCCACTTAGGATTAAAGTTTTGGTGTCTAAACATACATTTTCAGGGTCAAGGAATGCAACTGTACCATTCGCGATACTGTCAAGTGGTTAGTTTGTCCAAATACAGTATTGTGGCCATCTTGTATTTGAAACATGGCCGCCATTCAAAACCTAAATCTCCGAATACGTGAATTGCATCTTTAAGCCACTAAGGATCTAAATCTTGGTGTTTAAACATATATTTTCAGGGTCATGGAACGCAACTAAACAATTTGAATAGGTACTAAATGTATTTGGGATCGTGTCAAATGGTCAGTTTGTCCAGATACTTAATACGGCGACCATAATGGTTTGCCGTAAAAGGACCAACACTGGCCCGATTCAGGCTATGTACCTTTTTGCCATTATGGTTTGACTTGAAAGGGCCGGCACCGGTTCCATTCAGGTTGTGTACCGTCTTGCCATTATAGTTTCCCAAAAAAGGGACCGACACTGGCCCGATTCAGGCCTTTTGCCGTCTTTTTATCATGGTTTATCGTAAGAGGACCTGCAATGGCACGGTTCAGGCTGTGCGCCGTCTTGCTGTTATTGTTTGCCTTAAAAAGACCAGCACTGGTCCGATATGCAGGCTCTGAATGGTCTTACCATTACCGTTTACCACTTAATAGGGCGAGCACTGGACCAATTCCGACTCAATGGTGTCTTTACCGTCAACACGGAACCGTTTTGGCGCAATCGAGCCAGCATAGCCCACTTCTGGTCTTGTACCGTTTAAACTGTATGGTACTGCCACATACCGGCCCAATACCGTCCTGTTAACTGGGTCAATGCCATCTTTGAACCTAGACAGGTAGAAATCTCTGGCACTCCACGATGTGATACAACTCTGCCTCTCCACAACTACATGCAGCTAACCACTTTTGTAGCTCCATTTGATTAAGACGGGTCTGTGATCGGCTAGTCCTGGTTCTCAAGCGGCTGTTTTCCATTGAACCCATGTCGATGTAGCACCTGTTGGCAGGTTTTCCGCCGTTTTTATAGTCCAACCATGACAATCGGTAGGCGTTTGCTCCCAGTTGTTGCTTCCAGTGTTGGAGTCTTGCCACTTCCCTGGATGTTGGGAAAGAGTGGACATGGCTGAGGAAGCTTTTCTTGACTTCAGCCTTTTGTGCCGAAACTTGCCGTCCCTGGAGGAGGCGACACTCGTCATTTATAAATATTTGTACATCTTAGCTCGGCTGGCAACTTCCCTTCGGCAATCCGAAGAGGAAATGCCAGCGAGGAGGTGCAAATTACTTGTGTTGGTGGGATTCAAGCATCCAGTGATCAAACTGCATGTTGTTTAAGGCTGGGTCAGGTTTCATGGTATGGGCTGATCTCTCCCAGACGGGGCACGTATACTCTGCTGAAGAATTGCGCGGAGCCAAAACGGTTCATCTTAGGGTGTGTGGTTTGGCTCCCCTTTCGGACGGAGGTTGTTCAATTTCTTTATGATGTTGTTACGGGGAACTAAATTTGGATGACTTGAATGACAGGATGCGATGGAGGGTCACTCTAAGGTAGACAGGATGGCTACAAGGGGCCAATGGTGTTCCGGACCAGTTGATACGGGGTCGGTAAGCTTCGCGGTTAACGTTCCTGAGATGGAACGAGCAGACTTGGGTCTAAGCGAGATTGGCACGGAGGTGATTGCGCTCATAGTATAGATACGGCTAAGTGCTGAGGTAAGTTTTGCTTCTATGGCTTCGAACGGAATCTTTTGAGATGTAACACAAAGATCGTCTGCGTAAATGAAACGCTCAATGTCCTGGTCTAAATTAAATTGTGATTTGTTTTGTGTAGACGTTATACAGCAACGGAGCTAGCACAGTGCCTTGAGGTGGGCCGTTTTCTTGCCGTCGACAGCGTTTTTGTTTTGTTCTGAACAACAAAGAAGCATCAGTCTTTGAGAAGGGCTCCGATATGATCCGTAAATGCGAGGTATTGGGTCAACTTCAAGATCATTTTCAGGAGGCGGCAGTGGTTTACAGTATTACATGTGACCGAAAGATCCACAAAAATAGCTCCACTTCCAAACCCATCCTCAGCTTAATTGCTGTGCCAGATTAAGAGTTGGCTTGTTGTTGACTTGCAATGTCGCAATCCAGGTTTCTGGGGGGTAAGGGATGTTTCAGCAACGGGGACAAGCCTGTTTAGGATCAGGCACTCGAACATGAACAAAAACAGTAATGGGTTCCTGTCTGGACCATGTTACCAGTGTGGCCTCCAAGGCCTGCAGTTAACTAGTTAATGTGGCTTCAAGAATCAAAGTGTATGCGTTGCAAGACGTGCATGCAGCACCTTGCTGAGTGCAATAAACTCTGCGCTTGCAACTGTGAGAATAAGGGCGAGCACTTTTGAACTTTAAACTTTTGTGAGTGATGACATTTATTCTCACATACTGTCGTTTTACTTATACTTTATACAGTATTTTTGGTGACTGCAGTATAAATCATCGGTATTCTGTTAGAGATTTTATCTTCAGTTTGACTATTTTGTGTGTATAACTAAAATCGTCTTGGTCTCTTCTGAATAAAAGAGTTGTATTTCCTGACCCTGAAAATGTATGTTTTGACACCTAGACAGTGATTTATATGGAGGTAGTAGCTGAGATATCTGTAAATGCAATTGTTATCTGCCGGTCATCTTTAAAATCGAAGATGGCCACAATAGTGTACAAACTGAACATTTGACGCTGTCATAAGTGGTATAGTTGCATTCCTTGACCCTGCAAATGTATGTTTGGACGCCAAAATGTTAATCCCAAGTGGCTTAGAAGAACAGATATTGGTAAATTTAAGTTTTCAATGGCGGCCATCTTTAAAATCCAAGATGGCCACCGTAATGTATCTGGACAAATTAATCATTGAGCACTACCCCAAATGGTTCAGTTGCGTTCTTTGGACCCTGCAAATATATGTTTAGACACTATAGGATTTCAATGTTAAGTGGCTGGCTTAAAGATGCAATACATGTCGTTTTCAATGCCAGCGGCCATCTTCAAAAATAAGATGGCAACAATACTGTATCTGGACAAACAAACCATTTGACACTAGCCCAAATGGAACAGTTGCATTCCTTGACCCTGAAAATGTGTGTTTAGACACCAAAACTTTAATCCTTAGTGGCTTAGAAGATAAGATATGGGTAAAAATAGGTTTTCAAAGGCAGCCATCTTTAAAATCCAAGATGGCCGCCATATTGTTATTGGATAAGTTGGTTCCTATCAAAAATTGAAAGCTAAAGGAGCATGTATGGACAATTTGGCGCTTTTGTCCGGAATGTCCACATCCATTCCAAAAGCTTGTCTAAGCTGCCTGACTATACCGGAGATGGGCTGCTTGGAGAACGGGTGATACTCAGACTACATGACAGCAAGCCAATGAGCGAACTTTTCTCAAAAATGTTTTTAATGAGCAAATTATTAATGTTTGGGAAAGCAACTTGAACAGAAAACCCCCAAACTGAACAATGTCTCCCTTAAATGACACCGCAGCAACAGCGCCCTCAACTATCCGGAAAAGCACGGACACTTTTTAATGCGTAACGAAGTGCACTTTCAATAAAAAATTAACCTAAAAGAGATGTTTTGAAAGTTTCGAAAAATATGTTCCTCACTAAAGTTCATGTCATGGTCACTTTAACTGAGCAATCTACTAATATCATTACGCGCTGAATGAATATAGTGTTCAGGTCCAGATATCAAGTTATATAAACACCATAAATAACAGTCTTACCCTCTGGACACAACATTACAAATAGGAATTTACTATAAACGCTGTGTGCATAAAGGCAATAAATTAAAGATTAAACAGTGAGCGATAAACCCTATTTGAAGTATAATTCCTTTCGTTTAATTCCTCATTAAGTAATTATTGGTATCAGTCAACGGTATCACGAAAGTAGATACGCGACTATCTCCACTACCTTTTCCCTAACATTTTTTTTTAATTATCAGTTCTTGCTATGAATCATCATCGAGTAATTCGAATTTCCGACAATTACTTACTCAATGGCAGTATAATTATTCCACTAAAGCAGTTACCAAAGTATGTGATACCAATACCCCAGAGCTAAGTGAACCTACTTGTCAGGTCATTCCCCTTCATCGGTGAACTTTTATATCTGTCCTTGTGCGGGGATAAAGTATTTAAACAGCCATGAGATAAAGCGCAGACAAAGCAGATGATTATGGTATTGCTATTTCGAGAAACGAATCTGAGCCCAAATTAAATGTACCGCTTCAGTAGAAAATTCCGCGTGAATGGCATTCCGTCAACGATTGGCGTACCATTTTTTGATTATATATGCATATATCGGCCCTATTTTTATAAATAATTTTGATATATTTTGCGTAAATTTTATATACAAATTAGCGTGACCAGCATGGGCGTTTTTTCGGCCGAATAGCACTTGCATGTGTGCCACTATGCCGAAATAGTAAACACTATAGGGCCTACACAAGTTTTACTGATTGTCTAGATCCATTCTTGCGACAACAGCTGCCAGGACTGCCGAGCCCTTGCCTGGCCCGTCCTCTACCAGGGTAAACTCCGCCTTGTAATCTGGCGATAGCTCGGCAATCTTCTCTGTCATCCGCTCCCGGAAAGCGGGAAAACCCTTGTACATACTGCCCTCTACGGCGATACCGGTCAGGGGCTTCTTCAGACGGTACAAGAGGCCGCCTACCAGGGAGGCTGCAAGCATAGCGCTACGTTGGGTGACCCGAGCACAGATGGCGTGTAAGAGTCTGCAGTCAGCTGGGGAAGGGTCGTCTGCTCCCAGCGACTGAAGGATTCGGCGGGAGTTTGGTTGCTTGTCTTCGGTGTCACTATGAAAACAGTTGTACAATTGACCACATTATAACACAGGTATTATTGTGTTAGCTAACTGCCAACCATTTTAGGCCTATCCAACCAGAAAATGAAACTTCTGAGTTTTATTCTCCGCAGGAACATATTAAGCATGACCCAAGACGGGCAGTGATTTTTCTTCTTTGGATGATCGACATTCGTTTGATGCTAAAATGAGTAACTTAAAGAGGTTGTGGAATGCTCGAAGACATTTCCGTCATTTTTTTGGGTATATGTAGCCTAAGGTGTGATGAAATAAAAACGACTATTGTTTCTGTCATGAAATGAGTACAAAGGGTACTTTTGAGAGCTATTTTTCAGGTCCTGTTTCGACCCGAACGTGCAATTTGTGTAAAAGTCGTCGTTGCGGGCAGCAAACAAAACACAGTAAATCGTGACGTAATAAACAGGACTCGTTTATGCTACTCTGCATCGGGAGTCCTGTTTATTACGTCACGATTGACTGTGTTTTGTTTGCTGCCCGCAACGACAACTTTTACACAAATTGCACGTTCGGGTCGAAACAGGAATGACAGGACTTGAAAAACAGCTCTCAAAAGTACCTTTTGTACTCATTTTATGACAGAAACAATAGTCGTTTTTATTTCATCACACCTTAGGCTACATATACCCGAAAAATGGCGGAAATGTCTTCGAGCATTCCACAACCTCTTTAAGCTGAAAGGAAACAATAATTATTGTCAGCCCACGGCCCGCCCCCTAAAAGTATGAGCGACCCCTTGTCTAGATAAAGTTTCTCGGAGATAACCTACAGCCAAAGCACTGTTTACACAACCTGGACCATTATTGGCTACCCGCAGAAAGAGGATCACGACCCTGAAAAATACGTTTTCAAAAGAGCGTACCCTCCAACAATTTCAGAAATGAAGCTGGTGGCGAAAATCCAATCTTCCTCTAAGCCCTTGGGGAGCTTGCCTCCGAACGCAACTCCGAGACGGGTGAGTTTCACCAGGATGATACGGGCGACCTCGCCCAGGTACTTCCCAGAAATCATCTTCTCAACCCTGGAGATAAAAAATTATCGTATTTCATGATAAAAGGTCATGTGGTTACATTTACGTCAATAGTTTGTAATGCGCTAGCTCGTGCGATAATTGTCCGTCTGCTGATCACTTATCACAAACACACACTTCTTTATTATGCATGAAATGGATCAAAATCTTCACTCACAATTGATTGCCTTTGTTAACAGTCCGGCTATCCAGATCATAATCGATCTCTGTCCTTACGAACTCGATGACACCATCGTCACCAAAGCCACCCATCTCGATGTTAATGACAACTTGACGCGGCTCGTTGTGGTCTCCTTTCCACGTTCCAACATTGCTTAGTTGTTCCATGTACGCTGCATTTATACCAGTTCCTTAAAAAAAACACGACACGCCAGAAATACAAGTGTTGAAACTGTGCAGTTTTAATACAGTCTTCCTCTTCGTTTGCATCTATTGGTGTGTTCTTATGTCTTATGGTGTTCTATAGACGCCAAATCTGCGTCGCGTCGTGCTTTCACGTCGTGCCGTCGCGTCGTGCCGTCGTCCGTTGCGTCGTGCTGTCGCCCGTCGCGTCGTGGCGTCGCGTCGTGCCGTCGCCCGTCGCGTCGTGCCGTCGCCTCTTAAATTACCGTTTCTAAGCACGTACACTGCAAGAGGAAGCGACGTACCTTCACACGTCGCGTCGTGCCGTCGTGCGTCGCGTCGTGCCGTCGTCCGTCGCGTCGTGCCGTCGCCCGTCGCGTCGTGCCGTCGCCTGTTACCTCGGCGCCTCTAAGTAGACTGCTTGAAGAGGCGACGCACACATTGCCCGTCGCGTCGTGCCGTCGCCCGTCGCGTCGTGCCGTCGCCCGTCGCATCGTGCCGTCGCGTCGTACTGTATCTTTCTTGGCAATAGGTGGCGCCTTCATTCTTCATGTACATGTGTTTAATAGAAAGGGGTGTAATCATACATTTCGCCACTACATTTTAAGTTAAATGGAATGGAGTTTGGCCGTCACCATGCATTAAAGTTTTATCAGACTTGTGTTTTTTCTTAAAAAGAAGTGGTTGTCTGGCTAGGAAAATAGCAAGGAAGAACCGGTTTTGTGCGAGCAAAATTCAGGGAACAATCTGTTGATACTAATAACTTGTTGGAAAGTTCCAAAGTCATTTCAAGAAAGTTGCCGCCGTGAATAAGGGTTTAAAACAAGGGAGGAGGATGGGATTTGCTATCAGAATCAGCAGGGCCGTTCCTCATTCTTTTCTTTTTATGGGATGTATGATAAAATTGGAGTACGAGGGGCTCTGCGAGCTGATGAATCTTTTTGAAAACATTGTATTTGCAACCAGCTAGGGAAGATTTCCGTTTATTTAAGACTTAGAAGCACTGGTATGGATACCTGTGTAAGTATAAGACTAAACTGCCCTTGTTTAGGTTTTTTTTTCTTTTTTGGAAATTCAATACGCATATAGGGAGTAACATCAGTTCCACTGCTGGGTTGCGGTGATGGGTGGGTTACAACTTATCAACACATACCTCGCCAGCGGGCCTTAGATTGGTGATAACCGGAGAGCGGGAGTTTCAAAATACTCATCCGGTGTTTACGCGACGCAGGGACTGGTTTGTGGCAGCAATTATGCGCCGCAGCACCTAGCAAAAAGGTTCTACATAATGGGTCTCATAATGTTCATATACTTCATTTACGCTTTGGTAGCATTCTCCCCCAGCGCTTTGTATCCTCTGGCAAAAAGCGCTATATAAATACAGTTATTACTACTATTACTGTAATAGGGCGACAGATTTTGCGAACTCCGTCCACAATAGGGCGATACACCTTATAAAGGCGACATTTTCACTGTCGCCCTTTTATGAAAACGACCCTTAGGACAAGGAATTTTGCTGTCGAAAACTATCTAGATCGATTCCTCATGGTCCAATTAGTATAAATACTAAATTTCGTGGAAAAAACATGAGGTAAACTTGGGTTAGGTGACAGTTTAGGTTTGTGCACAAGTCTATGGGAAAGTCACCCTATTGGGGCGAAAAGAGTAATCATTATTATTATTATTATTATTATTATTATTGTGTACATGTGGTTTTTGTTTCTAGTTCACTTAATGATTTGATTTATACCGGTGATAATATGCCGTCCCACCTGTTTTTTCTTTTGTGTGTGTCGGGGGAAACAGTGCATATTTTCTGTGCCCTTTTTACGCACTTCATCAGTCACCCTTTGTTTAATTCTTTTATACGTATTTACTTTATTGCTAATGATGGTTAAGAATATTTTACGCGTGAGCAGTTCTTGTAATGATCAGATTAAGTGGATTCCTTATTTTTTATTTTTTATTTCGAATTCCATGCCTAAATTACCATTATGTTAGTTCTGTTCTTCAAGAAGTTCCGATAGGATTTGTACGTTCTCCTCATCCACGTTTTTTTTTCTTGGTTGGATGGTGGAGATGGGTTCATCCTTGATCGGACCAGGCCATGTTTTATGTTTTTTGTCGTTTGTAAGCCAGGATGGGTTGGGTCGCAAAGAGTGCACTTAGAAAATCGTTATCGCTGATCAGATTCCAGTGTTTCAGAAGGGCCTGCTTAAGAGCTGGGTGTTTAATTTGTGGGTGGTAGGGTAAAACAAAGACCAGCGGGATATTCTTTTCGGATTTTGCACGCTTTTTAGAGTTCATGGAATCGCGTGTATATGTGCTTTGTTGTTTGACAATTGGAAGCAGAAAAAAATCTATGTATTTTGAAATTGATTGAGTCGGACCTCCGCAACCACTAATAATAGGCCTCCCCACAAACCGTGTACAAACTGTACGACATTGCAATTTGCAACACTTTCACCGCACGGCACGCATGTCATAAATACTGTACAGGTACATGAAAAATTAAGGCGCCACCTATTGCCAAGAAACTACAGTCACGCGACGTGCGACGGCACGACGCGACGGGCGACGGCACGACGCGACGGGCAATGTGTGCGTCGCCTCTTCAAGCAGTCTACTTAGAAGCGCCGAGGTAACAGGCGACGGCACGACGCGACGGGCGACGGCACGACGCGACGGACGACGGCACGACGCGACGGACGACGGCACGACGCGACGTGTGAAGATGCGTCGCTTCCTTATGCAATGTACGTGCTTAGAAACGGTAATTTAAGAGGCGACGGCACGACGCGACGGGCGACGGCACGACGCGACGCCACGACGCGACGGGCGACAGCACGACGCAACGGACGACGGCACGACGCGACGGTACGACGCGACGGCACGACGTGAAAGCACGACGCGACGCAGATTTGGCGTCTATAGAACACCATAATGTCTGGAAAAAAAGGCATTGTGAAGTTATTTTTTTTGGTTGTGGGTATCAGGCTGCAAGCTCTTCAAAAATTGGTACAAGATTGTCCACGCTGACCACATTGCAACGTTTGCTGTCAGAGCATTTTATGACCCCTTATAGTTTACTTGAAGGAATATTTAGCTGAGAGGTCCCACCTCCGAACCGGCTTGTGTAGGCCCCTTTGTCTAAAATGTTTACACATGTACACTGGGCTGGTGCTTGGTTAAAAAATTCTGGGCCAACGTGCTTGCCCATGTTACAATGCTTGCACTTATGTCTGAAATGAAGAGTTTTGAAAAAAGAATTCCACCCAGAAATTTCGGAGTATTTAAAAGAGTCACGGAAAACGGACTGTATAAATAAGTACATTTGTTGAACGGAAACTGTTAATTGAGGTACACAAATCGGCACCTATCAAACGGACATTCATTCCAAACGACGGAGGGCGTACGTATACATCAAAATCCTGACAACCGAGTAATTCTTCCCCTCGGCTCTATAATAATAATAATGAGCACATGGGGTCACTTACCTATGATGAGCCCGATGTGACAATTGTTGTTGTAATACGCTCCAGCTATCAGCGCTGCAACTGTGTCATTGATAATAGCTACCGTGCGAACCTTGATATTCTGCGACAAAGATGCATTAAAAAAATTCAGATGCTTACATCAGAACCTTCTGCAGAAACGAATGGGCTTTTGGTATCAAACCATTATGGAGTTAACCGTTTTCTGACTGCACTGGCTCTGAGTTAGTTGGATTCTCCTTACCTTTTTGTCTAAGGCGTCCTGGAGTAGACGCACAACATCCTTCCCGACGACTCCTTTGACGGCAAATCCTTTGGTCCATAGATTCAAATCAGCTATGTGAAGTATAACGGGATATCGTTGTTAGACTGAAGTCTATAGGATTGTATGCCAATGTATTAATAGCATCTAGAACATTTGAGTTTCAGCTCTCGGTTTCAGAGACATAAACAACTTTACCTGAATTTAGACTGTGCTGGTCAGAGGGGAAGGAGAACGTGAAACCTAGCGGCAGCTCGTCGAATGTACCATCTGGGCAGTGGTTCTTCATGAATAGCTCGATGTTGTCCGCGATGTAGCCGAAAAACTGGTCAAACAAACATGTGAGCATAAAGAACCAGACAAAACTAGACATATGTTTGTGGACAAACATAGGGCTGTTTCGGTAGCTTTTTGTGACATGTGACATGTGTTCCATCAACGAAGGATGTGTAGTTCTGTTTATAATAAATGGTGGCATATAAATGTAATATGTGATTCCATTCGCATAGGGCTTTGAATTATGACGTCACATGTCACGTGATGACGTCATGATGACGTCACATAAAGTTTCATCTATTACTATAATATTATGGTAAAGAACAACTTAGGCAGAGCAAACATCGTTGAAAGCAAGTTCGCGTCTTTCACCAATTTTAAATTACAAAGCACTTCCGGTTTCAACCAGAAGAAAGGGTCACGTGATTTATTTGCACATATTTAACAAATGAAGACCCTCGCTAATTCTATCAATTCCCGCAAAAATCATGTTCAGGTCTCGACCACCTAATTTTTTTTCTTCCTATAACACATTCCGGTCTAGCCACATACCAAGTTTCAACCCAGTCAGACTTACAGTTCTGTAGATATAGGACTTCATAATATGCACGTAAATTTTCAAAAATCAATAAAAAAAATTAGGTGATGACGTCATCATGACGTCATAGTCTTGGCATAATTTTTATATGAGGGTCTTCCTTGGCTGTAACATTGATGACGATTCTAGATCACCAAGTTATAGAAATGGTGGCTTGAAAACGTGTACAAAGTCAATGGGCTAACACGTGTACTAAATTAACGGGCTAAAAACAAAATCCCACTGCAGAAAAATTGCACCTTTAAATTTGTAATTTGCCTTTGAACTGAAACATTTTTATGAAATATTACTTGATATTCTGACCCTTAGGAATATGTTCAATCGAATGACAGCGCGAAAAAAATACGATTTCTCTTTCCTTCTCATAGTAATTCTCGGCTGAAGTTCAGAACTACTCAGTAAGATATTAGTGTTGTATAGGAAAAGACTTGTGGAAAATCCCACTGCAGAAAAACTGCACCTTTAAATACGTAACATAGGGCTTTTCGGCATTACGATTTTTTATTATACGTCCCTGACTATGCGCATGCACGAACAAAAAATCTGTCAAAGTTAGCCGAAAATCGGCTAAAACGGTCATTGTGATATGATGTGGAAAGGATTTGACCGCGGCAACACGTGCTCTGCAGGCTGGCTGACATTACATGTACGATGTACATGTAAAGTATGTGCGTAACGTACGTGTATGTACATATAGACGTTCTGTGCATGTTTTAGAGCAGATGTATTGTCAACCTGAAGTTTTAAGCGTGCGCAGGGCATGTCCGAGTTCGCTTATTGCCTTGAAGCTTTGAAATGTGTTAGACCTACCCTTAAATCGACAATTAAAGTAAAAACTAACATAATAACTGCCATGGTTGATTTTTCAGGAATTTTCAAATGAAAAAGGGTCTTTTTATTATAACTTCCGGTCTGATGACGTCATTCGCCTAAAACTTTGCATACGTCTTAAGTGGGTCAAGGTCATCATATTCACCAATATTTAGGCGATTCCGACAAACTTCGCCACAGACATCTATTCAAAATACATTTTTGCAAATTTTTAACCTGTCGCTAGAGGGCGCTCGAAGATTGCATGACGTCATTGGTAGATGATTTGAAGAATACTTTGAGCCAAGAGACTAACACCGTTAAAAGCAAGTTCATCGCTATTACCATTTTTAAATAATAAGCCACTTCCGATTTTGGCCTTTTTCGACCGGAAGCAAGGGTCACGTGATTTCACGCACACTGAATGAAATAAAGACCTCAACCTACTCTACCACTTGCCGGTAACAGAATGCTGCGGACGCGTACGGTTGATTTCTTATGCATTTTTAAATATTAAAAGTGTCACAATTTAATTGCCTATAAATACACACCGGATGACGTCATCATGACGTCATCATTACACAATGTTGTTTGAATTAGGGTCTTTGCTTGGACAAAGATTGGTGCAAATGAATTACTGGCAAAGAGTCAAAAATGCCCTTTGAAAATCGACAATTTTTTTTCGATTTCTGTGTACAAAGTCTATGGGAAAAATTAAATATTCAAAATTCTATAATAAATTAGTCGATGACGTCACGATGACGTCAATGTTCGGCACACAACTTCAGATGCTGGTCTAAATGTGTGCCAAGTATAAAGTCAATCGGATCGATTTTAGTGCCCAAAGTGCCGGTGACAAAAAAACGTGTACAAATGCTATGGGCAAAATGACTGAAAAAGAAAAAAAAAAAAAAAGAAAAAAAAAAAAAATCTTAACGAAAACAAAGGCTGTTTCGGCAAAAGTGCCGAAACAGCCAACAAATCAGCAAGTAAGACCAGTTTACTTCGTACTATTCCAACTACAATTTCGTGGTATTCTTCGGGCTTCATTTTGAGTGGTTTTCTTTGATCGCTTCCGAATTGTGTCTACTGACGATGCCTTTAACATTTATGAAGACATACTTTAGGCCCAACAATTTAGCCGCGTAGCTCTAGACAATAATGATAGATCTTGACAGTAGGCGTAGCCATTGCTCTGGTCTGCACTCTGCCCCCCCTTCTGACATAAGTGTTTCAAGAAACTCACAATTACGAGAATCCATAATACCTACCATATCGGCAGTTCCAGATAAGATCTCTTCTGGCAGATGATATCTGTCCACCTGCACCTTTAACCCTTTATCTGTAAGCTCAGCCAACAAGACTCGGAAGTTACTCCCTCCCATATCGAGACTCATGTATGTACCCTTCTCTGCAACAGCGAAAACATACCAATATAGTTTGATGCGTCTTCTGTTAAGAAAATGTCACTAGATCGCATAGATAGAAGCGTTGAATATTGTTTTTTTATTGACTTCAACTTTGAAAGAGTGTTGAAGGGTTTTTAACTCATAAGTATGGCGAGTCCACATTCAATGTGTTGGTTCGGTCAACACTTGGCACATTTTGCACCTCGTCATAAGTATGTGTAATGACAAGTATCCCCCCAATGAGCAGCTATTTTACCTGTTCCATTGGGCAGTGACCTGACGTAAGACGGCAGCATCTTGACTGCGGCTTCATCGTGCGTCTCTGGACAGAGTCCCTTGTTCATCGACTCATTGAGAATTCTCATGATGTCTCTTTGCTGCTCCTCGGACACTTCAAGTGTCTCGAAGATGGCCAGTGCCTCCTGTTCAATGATTGATTAAAACATTTTCGTTGCTCTGACTCCCCCTCTTTTTGCTTACTTATTCCACCATTTCAACGGACCAAGCATGCGAACAGCCTCATGGATTATAATATCATTATGAAGGGCGAGAGGTGAAGGACTGATCAAGCCCCTCTAAGCCCCGAAAATCGCATTTGAAAAAGCTGAGTTGCAGATGATGCTTGAAATTAATGTCTCGATACAAATACTTCCGTCTGCGATCGCCATTCCCCGATGGATGCCGCTTGATTCAAGTTTTGGTTTGGTCCAAACTGCCCTATCAAAGGAGCTCTGGTGACCTCAATTTTCTTTGAACTTTTATTGGACGGATTAGTTTACCCAATGACACAGGGTCAACACTTCCGTGTGCACATGAAACGTGCGCATGGTAATAATGACAAGTGACCTACCCCCAATGCTTTGCGTCACCTTCGTTTCCTTCACAAAAAATGTTGTGAAAGTGAATAGGACGAGTGAAATCAATACAAATATTTGAGCTAAAATTAAAGGCATATTGAATCATTTGCTTTTCATGTTTTTTTTCCGCGTCCAATACAATGTAACACTACTCGAAATCCAAAGAAGAATGTTCCAAACCTAATTCCTGTTAAAACGTCAGCTCAGTGGATTACACTTTTCGAAAAAAAGAAGAAGTGAACAACAGACTATGCACAACCTTTTCATCACGAAACACGATTTCGTCCATAACACTCTTTATTTCCAAAAAATCTGTCAATTGACTGATCGCCGGAAATCATATGCATTTCTTGATTTCTTCTAGATTACAGCAAGCCAGACGAAATAATTTAACGGGGTGTTACCGGACCATCTTTAACCCAAGTATTAAGCTTTTTGACAATAATTCGGTAGGTTACTTTTGGGATAAATGCAAATGATGCTATATGTCTTTAAAGGTCTGCGATCATGGGAAATAATTTGAACAAGACCTCGAAACTCACCTTCGGGAGACCTTTTTCATTTTGGTATACGTCCAGCTGATGACTCGCCATTTTTAATGTCAGGAAGGACTGCTGCTCGACGGCTCCAAAACAGAATTGTAGTTCCCGTTTAACTAAAAGATTCAAAAGCTTACAGTTGTTTTACTGGGGAAAAATACAGACTAGGCGATGAGTAATCCATTTGTATGCATTAAACAATCAAGTGAGTTTTAATGGGATAGCATGTAAGTATACTGTTCCAAATATCATTTTGAAACCGTAGGGTACCAAATTTTTAGGCTCGCGGAGAAAAGAAAAGAACTAGCTTATAGGGGCATAATGTGGGGGACATTCCCGATGCAACAAGATGGCATACATTGCATGGGAATTTGGGAAGTGTCTGCGCTCAAAACAAAAAGTTGACCATAAATCGTCATTTTAATATGACCAGCCCAGATAACTGCATCTCAAGATTTTGTGTACCCGCATCCACCATTTCTATGCTGGAATGGTGCGGGTACGGAATACGTATGCGGCGGGAAAAAGTGGCAAGTTAAATAACCATTTCGTTTGATAATTTTACCAGGAACACATTATTTAAATCTCAATATTTTGATGTGAAATGCACATTGCCAATAATGTGCCCGATAAATAACTTACTCGAAATGGTGATTTAGCAGGCGACTTTTTGCGAGCCGCATACGCCTTCCGTATTCGCATCATATTTAAATTGTGTAGGCATGTGGGGCAGAATACTTATCCATTTAACATGCTGTAGCTGGCACGTCGAACATTGTTTTGGCGGTTAAAGCCACGCTACGCCAATTCGATTCCAATGGATTTATTACTGATAAATTCACAATTATGCACTCAACTGCACATGATAAATGGGCCTGGCGGCAAGAAGCGAAAGTGGTCCATTGAAAATGTACTGGGGTCCAAATAATCGGGTCATTTCCTCTCGATTTCGCCAGCGCCAGGATTTGTCGCTTTTTTATTAAGAAAAGCCCCTAAATATCGTCATAGGCATTACTTTCTGGCCTAAGTGTTTTTTGGGGGGCACAGAATACAATGTAAAAACTTAAAAACGTTTCGTTCATTCGAGGATGAAGGAAATCAGCAGGGCTCCTTTCCGCACGAGTGAAAAAAATAATTGTGTGCTTCACAGTTCGGGCCAAATTGCGGTGCCAAAACGCACCGGGCTTCACTGTGGCATAATAATGAATTTATTAGTAAAAAGGTCCATATTGCACCCGATATATGGGTTGTGTAAGTTAATACTGCTATCTGTATCAGCATCTTGCGATTGTATGCACAAGCATGTTATCAGTGCCTTTTGTTGGTTTTGTCTAGCTAGCCCAGCGGTGCCGGCCCACACCAAGCCCTTGAAACGCCCACTATGTTATATCACAAAAGAAGTTCATTCCTATATTTAAATATTACTAATGGTTTCTTGTATAGCGCTCATGTCCGTCACGAAGTGACGCTCCTGACGCTCTAATATTACCCTGGTTTTAGCAAGGCTGCCATTACGGCGCTCAAGCATTTGAAGGAATTTCTTCCTACCAGGTACCCATTTACTACACCTGGGTGGAAAGAGGCAATCGTAGTAAAGTGCCTTGCCCAAGCGCACAAGCACCATGTTCCCCGTCAGGATTCGAACCCATGTACCACGGCACACGAGTCGAACACAGTAACCAATGGACCGAAGCACATTATTTTTTTACTATGATGCATCATGGAGGTAGACAAGACGCGAACAATCGCCAGACTAATACTATCATTAAACAACTCCTGCAGTTAATACATTTTTTAAGGGCATAGAAGTGTATAGGAAATTTAAATCCCTGGTCTGATTTGACCTAGAAACCGGTACATGTTTGGCCTGATACTAAAATCACACTTTCACGTGTCAAACTGACACTCTTCTGGTTGAAAATAACACTGCCAAGGGGTATATGGTCAAAATAACCCGAAAAATGATCCAGAAAAGTTTCACCTTTGACCCAAAAGTATTAGGCCAAATATAACCCGGATTCTGAGTCAAAGGGGAATTTAGAGTTTATCATTTATAAAGAATATTGCCTTTGGTTAAATTTTTTTCCAAACAATTTTGATATAAATTTTATTTGATCATCCATCGAAAAGGAATATCAAAACTGATGAAAAATCTTCCAGCCATCTAATTTGTCTTTTTGGTATGATTTATGTCGATACGTTTCCGCTTTATAGGAAAAAGGAAAAATTATAATATTGTAATAAGACCTTTTATTAGCTTAATAAGACATCAATTCTCTGTGGTTGCCATGTCACGCACGCCTCCCACACTTAATCGTTCAGGAAAGACGTACAAAAGTAAATGAAAATTGAATAAAAAATTAACTTGTGATATTTTTTGCTAGAAAATCATGACAAAGTTGTAACATTTGTATAGCTATGGTAAAATGATTTGACATAAATTATTTGATTTTTGTCGAATCTGTACAAAAATCTTTGGGCGACTTAGCGCTACGATTTGGTCGGAAATATAGACATATCAGCGAGACACACATTACCATGGCCTTAAGGATAATAGGTGCATTATATCCGACAGTCATCAAATAACAGTTAAATGATGTATGAGCAGAAAAAAAGTTTAAAGAATACATACCGGTACTTATCTACCTGTCAAGAAAATATTTAATAAATAAATGACATGCTTGTGTCTCATATGCACAAACTTGCGGCTAAATAGGGCTACACGCAGGCAAATACAATAGTACCCTGAACGATGACGTCATCAGACAACTTCTCTTGTAATCAGGGGTGGATCTAACTTTCAGGAAGGGGGTGTGATATAAAGGGGGTATGCCCCAGGACAATTAATAGATTGGTGACAAAATGTGATTGAAACCATGTTAGGGTTTTAGTATGTTACGTGAGCTGTCTACCCACATGTAAAATGCCTGAAATGTATAATTTTATAATGGGAAAACTCAATGCAATCATACAACACGTGGAAAAGTTAATTTACTGTACATTTAGACATGACCTTTCCTGCGTCACTCAAAATTGGATCACTGCTTGTATGACTTTCTTTGTTCCTTGCGAAGGGGCGGATCTAGCTTTCAAAAAGGGGGTGATACAAGAGGGGTGGGGTAGTCTAACGCTTGCCGAAAGCACGCCCTGCTAAGGGGATCCGGGGGCATGGCCCCAGACAATTTGGAATCTACGAGACCGAGACCAAGACCGAGAGCGAGACCAGCAAAAACTGGTCTCGAGCCCGGTCTCGAGACCTACAACACTGCTACATAATTATGACGATATCAATTTGCAATACGCTACAGTTTGTAAAAAAAAAAATTAGGACCGGCCAATATTATTGTATTGTACTGTATTCTTCCGTTAATGTATACACAAGTTTCACAATAGCTACAAAAATAACATTAAGGTAGGCCTACACAAGTATCTACTGACAGACAGCAGAATGCTCAAAGGTACTCACATGAATTCACCTCCGAGAACAGTGTACGAGTATGTGGCGAACATCCCACCGACGACGACTATATTGTGAGCGATTCAGCCACCCGTATCAGAACGTTCACTGTAAGGGTACTTAATCATTAACTTCATTACATAATGTTACATCATTGGAAAATCATGCAGATAAGTCACCTTACATGGGGACATGTCAGTGTCGCTAAAATGCTCACCTTTATGTGGGGAACCAGACATAATGAAGTCAGAAGTTACTTGGTGTCTCTGTTAGTCAAAAAGTAATGGGCTATTTAATACATGTGTTAAAGTTACCCTTTAAATCTATTTGGAAGTATTTGAGAGCTTCATAAATGTATAGGGAGTGGTTCAATGAAAATTCTTCAAACATCAGAAAATAAATAAACGCTGGACGAAAATGTTATTTTTAACAGGCAAACAATATCCTATAGTTAAGCGCCTGGTGTCACGGAACATCATGATTGCAGTTCCTGCACATTTCACTGAATCGGCCGATATGGCCGGACTTTTCCACCCGAGCCGGATATTCTGTCCCCGATATATAGGCCTATTTCCGCCGCCCCCCCCCCCCCCCTCCAAGCGGCATTTTCAGCTTTTTAGGCCCGGGGGAGGCAAAATTAGGACTTTACGACGTCTGAATTGTATTGAAGCCTTTTTCAAAATACTGTTGGTTTTTGTTTTGTTTTATGACGCCATCAAAATTCCGCCCCATTGTTTTAAGTGAAATATAGGCCACGCCTGATTGTCGTTTGAGATTTTTCCAACTGATACTATTTTACAAGTGAATTATAGCGACTGGTCTACATTACATTTTTTTTTAATGTGTGCGTGTGATGAGGAATAGAATATTTCATTATTATTATCCACGCTAGCCATGCGCGGTTGTGGCATTGGCTTTGGGTCGTAAGTAGTTCTATTTATTGGTAGGAAAATACCTTGACGGCCTAGACAAAGGCATGATAAAGTGGTAATCCGCAGAAAAACATACTTTAATTGTGTTTTGGTCATTCGCTCATTATTTTTGCTATCATTTCAGTGACTAAAGGACCCCGCGTCTGAGTACCAGACATGACATTTAACGTTTCCCACAGGACAAATTCCAATGCGTATTCCGATGCTTGTAATTTCATCCCACTGGTTTGAATTTCGGTTTTGACTCAAAAGAAACAACGTATTAAGCCCGGCTCGTACTTCATGAGAATCTGACATCACGAAGCTTTCACTGCAAATTCGCCGGAGTTGAAATGTTTTCAACGTTTGCCAATTCGCAGTGTGAAAAATCAAACCAAACGGCTCTTTTCAGAGTCACACATGTTCACCAAAGAGAGCTATTCCTGTGCTCATAAAATAAAGAATTAAATAAAAACAAAACTCCCTCTCTCGGATATTATTTTAAACTTAACCCAATATAAAACGTTGACTCCTTACTCTCAATTCTCATGCAGCAAAATGAAATAAAATAAACTAAAAAAAAAAGAGAAAAAAACGAACGACAAAAGACCAGTGAAACAACTAATTAATAATTGATTATTCATTTTATTATTCATCCTCATAAACAAATGTGAAAAGCCAAAGAAGAGGCGAATGTTATTCTTATCACCCTGTAGACACTTGTTCACTTTTACTAATGAGAAAAAGCGGAAAAGAAATGTTCAAGAAAAAATGCCCCCAAAATGATAACAGTTCGTTTTGTGATAAAAAAAAACAAAACCAACTGGTCACTGAAGTGAACTGCCAGGGAATTTATAAGGGACAGTCAACATCAAACAAAGGATTACTTATCCTGGAATTCATCTTTTGTTACGTACCTGTCCACGTACAAGTCCCACTGCAAAACTATCACCATACCTGGCTGTACCGTTTGCGTCCATGCGTGGACCGTCTCCCGCTTTGGCTTGAAGGGTCCCACACTTCCTCAATAACAATACTGGCTCCCGGTATATGAACCAGGGGTATTTAGCCCGTCCGCCTAAGTTATCATGTCTTTTTGGACATTTTAATTGGCAATATATAATTTATGAAATGTGATTTTTGGAGGAAAGTTTTCATACCAAAGGTATAGAACAATTTCGTTCGTCATGAAATGATTGTTGCAGTGATTTGACCACATTGATATTCAGTTTCATCCAACTGCTATTAAACACTTCGAAATCATTCATTTTGGGCGATGTATGACAACTGCGCATGCGTATATACCATGGTACTGTCTACAAAGCAAGACAAACTCTTTCTTTTAGCATTAGTGAGCACGGATCTCTATTGTGTAGAGATTAGCTTAGTGTTCAACTGAGCAAGCTTGCCGTTTGGTGCTTTATATTATTGCTTCCAGCGCGGCGACCATCCTTTTACCTTTGAAGTCTCCAACCACCAGCCATCGGCCACCAGCGTCCAGCCACGAGCCACCAGCCAGCAGCGAGCAGCGACCTGCGTCCAGCTACCAGCGACCAGCATACAGCGTCGCCAACCAGCTACCAACGTCCAGCGATCAGCGGCCAGCGACCAGCGTCCAGCGACCAGCGAGCAGCCACCAGCGTCCAGCGCCCTGTGACCAGCGACCAGCAACCAGTCACAAGCCACAAGCCACTAGCGTCCAGCGACCTGCAGCTAACGTTCAGCACCCAGCCATTAGCGAGCAGCGACCAGTGTCCAGCGTCGAGCGTCCAACCACCAGCCACCAGCGTCCATCTTCCAGCCAACAGGCACCAGCGTCCAGTTACCAGCGACCATCGTTCATCGTCCAGCGTTGGGCGACCAGCGTTGAGCGTCTAGCCACTAGCGAGCAGCGACCGGCGTCGAGTGACCAACAACCAGAGACCAGCGACTAGCTGCTCGCTGCACGTTGGTTGCTGGACAATGGTGGCTGGTGGCTGGTGGCTTGAGGAGATATCGGCAACCTTCTCGTGGTCTTCTCTGTAATCCCGAACTTGTTTCTGGAGACTAATGCCGATGACACGAAACCAAACCAAACGTAGGATGGAAACTCAGGTCCGCGGCCCCGAGCGGGCGGCAGCTGTCGTCGAAGGCGAGGGTGCCGCGATACTGCAGTTGAACGTCGAGGGTCTCACCACCGCTAAACTTACCATCATTGAACAGCTTGCATATACCAACAAAGCCTCTGTTATTTTGCTGCAAGAAACACACTGTGAAACGACGGAGAAACTAACAATTCCCGAATTCACACTAGCTGCACACATCTTGAACAAACACCACGGCCTGGCCACCTTTGTCGGACAGGACACAGAGTGGTCCCTGGAGGCACAGTCCGCAGATGACTCCGAACTGGAATGGCTGGCCGTGAAGGCTAAGGATGTAACTATCATTAACGTGTACAAGCCACCCCCAACACGCCTGACCAAAGCATCCCTACCAGCGGTCACTCATCCCTGCATCTGCGCTGGCGATTTCAACTGCCACCACACTGAATGGGGTTACTCCAGATCCAACAATGACGGAACTTGTCTTGTAGAATGGGCATCTGCCAACAACCTGACTCTCCTATACAACCCAAAGGAGCCCGCTAGCTTCCACTCTGCCCGGTGGAATTCAGGTTCGAACCAAGACCTAGCTTTTGCTAGCAGCATAAAAGGTCCAACCACCCCTGGCTCGCCGAGTGCTGGAGAAATTCCCAAGGTCCCAACACCGACCGTCACTCGTCACACCGGTACCACTTGTTGCTCCCACCTCAATCAAACCAGTGAGACGGTGGAACTTTCGAAATGCTGACTGGGACAGGTTCAAATTGCTCACCAACCAAGCCAACCAGAACCTCCCACCACCGGACAGCACAGACCTGGATACCTCATACAAGGCATTCTGTAACATGCTCACCAACGCAGCCAAGCAGTCAGTCCCCCGTGGATACCAGAGGAACTACATCCCATGCTGGGACGAAGAATGCCAGAAGTTGTACGAAGATCACACAGCAGCTACATCCAAATAGGGATCTGATGTCACAGCCAACATCCTGATGAAGCGCCTGGATGAGAAACGCCAAGATCGTTGGACAGAGACAGTTGAATCCATTGACTTCACACACTCCAGCCGAAAAGCCTGGCGCACCATCAACCGCCTCACAGGAAGGAACATATCTAAACCTGACAAATGCCCCGTGAGTGCTAATGCAATTGCATCGCAACTACTTCAGAATGGTCGTTTTACCAACCCAGACCGAAACTTCTCAAGACAGGTCGGAAAGGAAGTTGATGAGCTATGGAAGGTTGACGGTGGGGACGTGAACATTACCAACCCCTTCACCACAGAAGAACTGGTCGAAGCACTGAAGTCAATGAAGGCGGGTAAGGCCCCAGGACCAGACGATATCCACCCAGAGTTCCTCTTACATGCAGGAGATGCTGCAACTGAGTGGTTACGTCGGTACTTGTTCACCTCGATGGAAAGATGCAAAATCCCCAAATCTGGCGCAAGGCATCTGTCATCGCCCTCCCGAAACCTAACAAGCCCAGGGACGACCCTAAAAGCCACAGGCCTATTTCACTACTGTGTGTTCCATACAAGCTGCTTGAAAGGATGATTCACGGACGCATCAATCCCATCATTGTCCCCCAGCTGCCCCGAGAACAGGCTGGCTTCCGCAATGGACGATCCATCGTGGATCAGGTAACCCTGCTCACTCAGGACATCGAGGATTGCTTCGAGGCCAAAGAGACAGCTGGCGCTGTACTCATAGACCTGACCGCCGCGTGTGACACTGTATGGCACCGTGGGTTGACTTTAAAACTTCTACGGATGCTGCCAGACAGACAGATGGTACAGGGACTGAGCTGAGTGAGGGTAAGACAGTCTCTACAGCCTTCCATCTGAACAACAAGGAAGCAAAACGTGAGCTGGATGTGTACATCAACAAGAGGCGCTTGGACTTCCAGACAACAACCACATATCTTGGTGTCAAGCTGGATAGGACACTCTCCTACCGACAACATCTTGCCGGACTCCGAGACAAGGTCATGGCACGCAGTGCTCTCATCCGTAAACTCAAGGGCACAGGATGGGGAGCAAGTCCATCAACACTCCGCACCACTGCCCTGGCACTTGTGTACACGCCGGCTGAGTAT